ATGAGAGTTGGCGCGACGGGTCTTTCGCTTCTTATTCGTGCCAACCTTGGGCTTGGCGGTTGAGCCACTTCTTTTGCCTTTACTTCGCGAAACAGAGGCTTCTTCTTCTGCTTCTTCTTCTGCTTCTTCTTCTTCTATCTCTGCATCCCCGATAGCTTGCCCACCATCCAGCGAGGAGGTTCCGCCTGACTGAGCTTCTTGACGCAGTCGACTAAATGCCTTTTCCATGCGACTGGGTCCACCTGCACGGACACGAGGTGCAAATGCACCCGCACCTTGTGGACCGTGCATGAACTGTGTGATGTTGGACTGTGTACCTTCCTGCTCTCGCCGATTCATGTCGCGAATGACTGGTACCAGGACTTCATCCGTCCGCTCTTGGCTCCAGCCGATTGTGGTCATGAGGAAGGCCCGTAACCCATTCAAATCAGGAACACCCCATTGGAATTGGGAAGGGTCGTCATCAACCACTGGTTCCAGGTATGCCTCGTCAACTTTGGTATCAGGGAATGAAGGAGGTAAGAAGATCTTGGATGCCTTCTTTCGGAATTTCTTCCGGAAGGCAAGGTGGACATCTTCTGCATTATTTGTACCCATTTGCAATTCGGTCCACCAATCGCGGAACTCTTCGAGGTTGGAAAACTCGGTGAGGATCTCTAGAGCTGTCACAGGACCAATGCCAGGAATGCCCTCTGTGTAATCGCTGCCCAGGAGATGGGCAAAGCTAATAAGTTTCTGTCGATGGAGCGCATACTCTTTTTCCAAATCGGAAGTCAAGTAGCATTCGACGAATTTACTTTGATTGAACATGTTTTTGTAAACTCGCGTTCCGCCGAAGAGGAAGATATCACTGTCGTCCGTGACAATCCCGTCCACGAGGCCTAGCGAGACCAATTTGGCGCACTGCGCTTCAGCTTCCATAGGCGCAGTAATATAAGGCAACCCAAAGAGCGTCAAGAGCTGTTGACACTCATTGATCATAATAGTAGTCACCTCGTCTGCATCACGTCGCTCATTTTTCTGTTGAGACCGTAGTTGCTTCAGTTCTTGCTCGTAGTCGAAGGTTTCCTGATTGGGGGCAGTATGATTAAGAGTATTGGCAAACCGCACATGCTCCTCACCCTCAGCTGCAAGCTGCTTGAACAGCTCCTCATCCTCCGGGTCACTGTAGTCGGCCGGGCCCTGCATGAAATCCTCAACTCGGTCGACCTCTTCGAAGAGCTGGGGCTGGGGCTGGGGTGGCGCCTTTTGATGGGATACAACAGTGATCTCGGGGCCTTGGGTGGGTGGCTGAGGGATAACATCTTCAAATTCTGGTGAAGGGGAATGCTCGGTGCGTGCGGACGGCCTGTCAATAATTTTATTAATCGGAGCTAGAGCTGGTTCGCTCAAAGGCTTCTCATCCAGATTTGTAGAAAGCTCATTGTAAACCTTTTCAATGTCCTCCAATTGAAAGACTTGTTTGGGTTTCTCTTTCTGTTCTTCCTCTTCCTCTTTCTCCTCCTTCTCCTCCTCCTTATCCTCTATATCAACAACTTCATTGGTGGCGGAAATTTCGTCAACATCGATAATGTCCGGCGAGCGACGATTGGAGAGGAACAGATGATCTGGTGCCGCAGGTTGCTCATCCTTTTCAGGATCTTCAATGGGATCAACGATGAATCCCACATCTGGGCGCTCACCAACAAACCATGGAGGAAGTGGGTCTGTCTGTTTTGGTTTCTTTGTAGACTCCTTTATAAAGCCCCCTGCACTTTCACCAACCTCACCAGCTTTCTCATTATCTTTCGTAACTTTAGTGAGTTTGATTGATTCGAAGGGGAGAGGACCTCCGAATGGACTTGGTGCATATGAGGCTTTCTTCGCAACCTTTGTTCTTGCTATGGCAGCTGAAAAGTCCATTCCATCATCACTCTCAGATTCAAGATCTGGCACCATCTCATTAGAGGGAGCTGGTTCGACCGGTCGGGAAATGGGCATATCAGGCATATCTTCGTCGCCGAGTGTATCTGGTTGTAACGAGAGGGCAATAGCTTGTTCGAGGTCATCGTCGTCACCATCAAAGAAATCATCAGTGTCGTTATTCTGCTGCTGTGCGCCAATATTTCCTTCGGCTTCCACAAAAAGCGAGTCATCCTCAACCACTTGTGCACGATTATTTACTGACTGTCGCTGTGCAGAATTGCGCGATTCTTGTATAGCCCTTCTCATGTCCAAATCTTCGTCGGTTTCAAGCTGAAGCGATCGGTCGAATACACCCTCTTGAAGGAGAGGAAGTTTCGGAAGTCGATTCAGACCTTCGATTGGAACGTCCTCGAACTCATCTTCGTCCGATACCTCATCCTCTTCAGATAGTATCTCAGGTCGATCCAGATCGATGGGCTTTTCTTCGTGGCCTTCCCGGTTTCCGACAACACCTAGGACCCAGCCACCTTCGTGTTCACGATCCTTCACAAGCACGTATTCCCTGCCACGTTCTCCTGCGATGCGCTGCCCAGACTTGTAGAATGCTTCGTCTCCGTTCATGCCACTTAAATTCATTAATCGTTGCGTAAGGTCATTACGTTCTGCAACACGGTCGATTTGGAACCTCGAGAATGCCATGCGGTCGGGAAACATGGTATCAAGCTGTTCTTTCGAATAACCCATTCGAAGTCGGCTTCTCAGCCTTGCTGCATTCAAGATGTTGTAGCGATCAGTGGGGGGCAGACTAAGGAAAAACATGCTATCGAAGTCGATTTTGGAAAAGTCGTAAAGGTTGATATCTTGTCCCTGGTGGAAATGTCTAGCATACTCCTCCAGTTCCTCTTGGGACATGATGCGTGGATCGTTTGGCGCTCCCATATCTTGAAGCGAGACATCTAGATTAGGTAGGTGGTACGCATCCTTCTTCTTGAACTTGCGAGTTTGCTGCTTTTCTGCATTTGTCATAAAAGCCTCTTCAGCGTAGACCGGAGCATCTGGCACCTCTTCCTCCTCTTGTCTATGGGTCTTATTGCGTCGACGAGCGTCCTCCTCCTCCGCACTGCGCTGCATTTGCACAGCAAGCAACTTTCCCGCGGTTCTCACAGCATCTTCCCTGTGGCCCTCGCGTTTCTTCTTTCGGCCAGCGATTGTCTGCCTTTTCATAACAGGGGCCCCGCCATCGAAGACGAAGACGGGCCGGATCCCGAAATACAGCAGTTTGCATATGCGGCGAAAGAATCCAACGATGTGAGAATTTCGGAGCGCATTGCCTTCTTTGTCTCGCACCGCTTTCAGGAATTGATAGATCCAGATCGACGCGTCGACAGCTAGTCGTTTCTTGTTGAGCGCTTCGAGTTTGATGGGGCGAGCGCAGGGCTGCACGACCGTCCAGAGGCCGGTGACACCCATGGCTAGTTAAAGGGGTATCAGATCATGAGTCTGTACTAGAAAGGTCTGGCATTTTAGAGAGAATCCACATATAGCGAGAGGGGTGCTCGCAAGGTGGCTAACTGAGAAGTTCTCGACTTCTGGGGCAGATGACATGAGCACCGAGCCCCCCGGGCCGAGCGTCATTTAGCTCCCGCGCCTGGGTCGCGAGATCACGTGTGCAATATTACCCTTTGTGGACTAGTGACAGTATTATGTAACCACATCGGGGAAATCATCGAAAAAGTAGTGGGCTTTTTTTGGCAGTTGGTGGGATGTACACTTCTATCTGAGCCAATTGAGACATTCGGTGTAATTCCCTTCTCTGCTTAATGTGCGTAGAAGTTGGCAATGTCTCTCTCACTTGAGGTCAGTGTTGCAATATCTGTAGTCAAAACGCTGCCCCGCTGACTCAAATTGCAGCATATTGATGCTTTTCTCCCGATAACAGCGTTGAAGACGTTTGTATTGGATGATAGAATATTCATCTTTCAAAGTCAAGGCACATTCTTTCGGGGTGGTTGATGGAACCACCGGTGTTGTTGCCGCTCAAATCCAGATATTCAAAAGAAACAATATTCATGGTTTCATTACTTTGAGTGACCGACTACAGGATCATGATTCGAGTCATGTACAAATAATCGCCTGGGGTGGTCGCTCGGTGCGAGCGGTCAACCTCTTTATCGCCTCTGACAACGAAGTCACGTTGTCTGCCTCTAGTACCGAGTTCAATGCTCCAGATTGGATTATGAGTGGGTGCGCAGCTGCAGCAGATGGCCATCACGGGGCATTTTTTATCACTTCAAACAATACACTCCTAAGTCTCGAAGTGCTAGACAGTGAGGTTCCTGGGAGAACTACAACACTATCCATATATCAGCTGGCGACGAGTGTAAAGTCTATCCTTTACTCCGCCGATGTGATTGCGCTGTCTTCCTCCCATGTTCTCATTGCCGCTGGTACCGTGTTCGGAGAAATCATCGTATGGTCGTGTTTCTTGAATAAAAATGGATCACACAAGGCTCATGCAATCGCCTCCATCCACCATTTCTTCACTGGGCATGACGGATCAATATTCGGTGTCCGCATCTCTCCCCAAATCCTGTCATTGAATGGAGGTCGCTCTGGTAGGATACTGGCCAGTTGCAGTGACGATAGAACCGTGAGAATTTGGGATATATCGGATTGCGAGCACAAAACAGCCCAAGATCCTTCTGCATATTCCACAGACGGTTTTGATTTGCGAAGCACAGGTTTTGGTCCGGTTGGGGCAGGCGAGGAGAGCGTTGGATCCGAGTCATGTGTGGTCCAGGCATTTGCGCACACGTCTCGCATTTGGGGTGTCCATTTCAGGGCCATCAAAAATAATAACCAAACGCACATGGGATTGGTTTCTCGTGGAGAGGATTGCACATGTGTTTTGTGGGACCTAAGTTGGCACTCATCATCTGCAGGGACGACTGATTATCAGCTCACCCAGACTTCTTCAATAAAAACACATTTGGGAAAACACATTTGGTCTCTGGATCTTTGCAGAATTGGCTCTGAGACTGTGGTTTACACCGGAGGTGCCGATGGTGCACTGAAAAATTTCCCCATCAAAGAAAATGACGACGAACATCTGGGCAATGGCCCTGTCGCTTCTTTGTCGCAATCACCTAATCTCCAAGTAGAGAAAAAGGGAGAATCCCACAGCTGATGGAACGAAAGCCTTTGCATTTATCACCCAAGACTACCTTCTTCGCACGTCTACACAAGGTCACATCCAGCTTGGATATCTCAACCAAGCAGAGGAGACTGCCATCACCTGGGAGGCAATATGCGAGACACCTGACCTTGCTTCTTTTGGTGTCATGACCGCTTTGCCCCAGAGGGGTCTGGCATTGATCGGTAATTGCCGAGGATTCATTCGACTTTATAATCACGCCTCAAAATCCGTGATCAATATCGCAGACGTTGGCAACAGACCCCTTGGAATATTCTTCCTTCAGGCTCATTCGTCCAGGACGGATCCCTTGAATTCTTCTAAAAACTTCAGCTTTGTCGTCTGTTATCCTACCGGAGAAGAAATAACACTCGTCAACGTCTCCGACTGGAACACTGATCGTCCAAATACTGAAACATTCACCTTTAGCCTACCATCCACATTTGTGGTTTGCAGTGCGTCTTTCATCTTTGATGGCCAATACTTGATTATAGGATCAAAATTAGGCGCCCTTGCTATATATAACACCTCTGAGGCTGAGCCTTTGTTGGTCAACCGCCGTGTTCATGGCCGAGAATTTGTCAATCACATTAGCGTCGTGACATCTGCTACTACGAGTGATAGCACAAAATCGGACTTTGTATTGACCTGTGGGCGAGACGGAACTTATTGTCTCCATGAATTGCAGCTTTGTGCGGACGGGACGGATGCTGTGTCGATACAGACCGTGCACCGTACAGCATCTATGACCGGTGGGAACATCGAAGGCGCCTATTTCGATAACGCGACTGGTGATTTCATGCTGTACGGATTCAGATCTCAAGACTTCGTCCTGCGCAATGAGTCGAAGTTGACGGATATCGTATCCATTGCTTCAGGCGGCTTTCGTCGAGGCTGGGACTTCATCCCAGGAGACAAAAAAGACAATGCTTTGTTCACGTGGAAAGACGGAACTTCTTTAATGACTACTCGCATACGAACTAGTGCTACTACTTTACTCCGAGCTGGTGCTCACGGACGGGAAATCAAAGCGATAGGTGTTTTCAACCCTACCGGTGGGGATCGGCCTCTGTTCGCGACTGGTGCAGAGGACACTACTGTTCGTCTTTTCACGCCAACTTCGTCATCGGCTGCAAGTCCGTGGGGTAGCTTTGAGTGTCTGCGCGTCTTGGATACACACAAGTCTGGGATCCAGCAGGTGACATGGTCTAAGGATGGGAGATACCTGTTCACCAGTGCTGCATACGAGGAGTTTTTCGTGTGGAAAGTCTGCACCATTCCCATCTTCGGCGTTGCCACAAAATTGATGGCTGCCAGTCCGAAGGACGACGTGAATTCCGATCTCCGGATACCTAGTTTCGATCTGCTGGAAGTAGAAGAATTTGACGGGGAGCGTGGTTTCCTCCTGTGCCTTGCTCTTTCCAATTCTGTTTTTAAGGTAAGGGTGGCTCTTTCCTTCAAATATACCTCGGGCCAGTACTAACGTTCCTGCAGATCTTCCACTTTTCGCCATCTAATGGGGGCCAATTCACTCTCCTGGCTCGTGGAAAATACATGACCAATTGTTTGACTCAAGCCCATTTCTTGGTTACAAGCACTTCCGTGAGCCTCATCACCGCAGCAACCGATGGCCACTTCACACTGTGGGATCTGACAAGCACACTTGAACCATTTTACACAATCACACAATCCACCTTGAAGGCCAAGCAAACCTTCGATGGCTCTTCCATCTCACCAGAAAACATCACATGCGAAAGTCGATATCAGATTCATTCCAACAGCATCAAGGGGATGGAACTGGTTCCTATATCTGACACATCCACTGTTGTTGTGGCTGGAGGTGACGATAACTCTCTCTCCGTGTCCCTCCTGCAGACACATCCATCCAACACCGGCACAAATGCGCAGGTAGCTACAGTTTCTATCCCCGATGCTCATGCTGCGGCGGTCACCTCAGTGCAAGTACTCAATCAGCAAATCTTTCGTGATGTTATATCAAATACAGAATCCATTAAAATCACCGTGGTGTCCTCTGGCAACGACTACCGAGTCAAAATCTGGTCAATCACCGTGGACCCTGTACAGCCTGGTACGGAGGGGATTATTGTCAAATTCTTACGGGATACATACAGCTCTGTGGCTGATATAGCATCATTGGGACTCCTCTATGGGCCTGGGAATGGCCTTCCCGCAGAGAGCCAAGTGCCTGGATCGGAAATACAGCAGTCGCGATTGGTTGTATGTGGTGTGGGCATAGAGATGTTTGCTGCCGAATCGGATCAAACCTTATCTGCATGATGCCGATTCGATGTCGGATATACATAAGACTTCAATACAACAATATGAACATAGCCGATACCATGCGAGATGACAATAGCATATTCACCGGGCAAGAGGAAGATAGTAGCGAACTACTCGGGTAAGAGGAAGACATAAACGAACTAGGACATGCATTCTAGCTGCATGGCGGGTGTCCAGAAGCCATACGACTGGACAATATAGTGACTTGGGGTATTCGTCAACTCCAACGAACTAGTCGGCTCCTCTGAAATAGTGGAATAGCTTGATTATCCCAACACTACTCCATGTTTACCCCGCAGCTTCGGGGAGTTCACCGTATTTTGTCCTAATACGGATGATTCGGAACAGGCCCATTTGAGGAAATGATTGACAAAACTATTCAATTAAATGACATAGTGTCGTGTTTTAATTTATCCCTCCTCGGCCCTTGGCTTGTTTGTTCGAAAGAACACAATATTTGAAGGGACGAGTACACGTATATAAGGAAAGAACTATGGACGTGTGCATACTCCAATAGAGTCTAGACTATACTAGACATTTCATTTCATACCCTCCTCATCATGAAGCATCTCATTAGTATGATCGCTGGCGCTGGGCTGGCTGCTGCTGCCCCCTTGCAAGCTCGTGCTACAGACACTTATTTCTTTACATTGTGAGTGATGAATTGTGTATCCATTTATCGCTCGTTGGGAAGGGGGCTAAAAGGAATCCGCAGTGGCAATTCATACACCACGACCGGTTTCGATGTCGGCGGCACGCAACCAACTGCTGGCAACCCGATGGGTAACCCGGCACTGGGTGGGTTTTATTCGCCATCTGGCAACTAAGCTTGACTGATTGAAAACAACAGGTACCGGAACAACCACTGGCGGTGTCAACTGGGTGGGATACATGACTACTGTGAACAATGCCTCACGAGTTCTCAGCTATAACCTCGCTGTTGGAGGAGCGTCTCTCGACAATTCCCTTATCAAAACCAATACCAAGGAGGATATGGTAACGCAAGTCGCCAGCTTCGAGACGGCATATAGCCAGAAGCCTGATACTGCACCATGGACTTCGGACAATGCGGTTTTTGGATTCTGGATTGGAATCAATGAGTATGTTCCCTAGGTCCCTATTAGCGACTAGACTAACTCCCTGATTCATAGCATTGGTTATGCTTGGTCAAGCAACGACGCCAGCGTCCTGATTCCAAAGATCATGGCCCAGTATAAAGCTCAAGCTGAAAAGCTCTACGCAAATGGTGGACGGAAGTTCATCTTCCTCAATGTTCCCCCTACAAGCCGATCTCCCCAGATCGCCAATCAAGGGACAACTGTTGTGGCCGGCCACGCTAAGTGGCTCGCGGCTTTCAACGATGCCATGGAAACAATGGTCAATGAGTTCATTTCAGACAACAGTGGTGTAAGTGCTTCTCTCTGGTTATATATATATATATATGATTTTGCATAACTAACCTAGCTGTAGACTACAACCGTTCTCTACGATACTTTCGCCTTCATGACCAAAGTTCTCGACGCCCCGGCAACATATGGATTCACCGATGCTAGTTGTATCAATGACGATGGTGCTACCTGTGTCTGGTGGAATGACTACCACCCAGGCTATGCATACCACAAGCTGCAGGCAGCGGATATGAAAGAGCACATGCACTCTCTCGGTGCTTGGTAGGCTTATCCGGATGGTCCGGGGAAATTATATGCAGGGTCAAGCGTGGTAAGGCCGGAGTTTCAAATAGTTATGTATAAGCTACACATGTGGTCTGTTTGTTTCCAAGCGAGTAGCTATCAAGACTTTTTAACACGATGGTTCTTGTTTCAGCTTGCAATCAACTTGCCACGCTTACTTGACCGGCACATTTGGTTTTCTATCTCCATCAATCATTACAGCGTATTAGAAACTACTAGTTCGTTCTTGGTTTAGTAAAAAATAATTAGCTATGTACATTGAAAGTGTTACACCCCACAACCCCTGAGTATGGAATCCACCACCCCTGCCTGTCAGAGAATATGAACGCCGATCAATACCTGAAGCACCACGGCTTGCAAAGATCTATACTCTCGAAACAAAGTGATGCATAATTAAGCCACCTGTGTCTGAAGAAAGCTTCATTGAAGCGGGGTAGTGTGTGTAGTGGATAATTATTATTCCTCTTCAACACGGGGAGGCTTGTTTTAGCGTGAAGACTCCGGGGAATTACCTTTTTGGCTGTCCGTTTCGCATAAGGTCGCCAAGAAGGACCGTTTCTCACCACGATACATGATTTTGGGGATCCTCATTGGTGATGGATTGTTGTTGTTATGCCCTGTAATATCCGAAGTTGCTGTACATTCCACCTATTCGACATCAGAAACCCACTCTAGTGACTGAAGATTTATGAAACCCCGTGTCGTTTTCTGTCATCGATCTCTAATTTCTGTATGATGTGTCTTGGGATATCCTGCTAGTTGCCCAGCCTTATACGTTAATTGACTAACAAGATAACTATAAAATGCACAAGTTCGCCCCGGACGTTGGTATCATTTCGCATTGCCATCACATCGCTCTTCTTCTTTTCGAGTCATAAACATTTGTTCCATACAACAAAGAGCTTGGATTTTCAATATGAGATTCAATCACGTTGCTCTCCTCGCCGCTGTGGCTGCATCGGCAGCAGCAGCTCCTGCCAACAACCATGCAAAGAGAGCTTCGCCTTTCAAATGTTCGATTCCATGAATTCAAAATATGTTTCTGATCGTCCATTGACAATTTGTTTATATAGGGTTTGGAGCAAGCGAATCTGGAGCTGAATTTGGCGAGACCAACCTTCCCGGTGTCTATGTGAGTGGGCTAAATATATGTCTTCGGAGGATCTCAACTGATAAATATTCGGAATAGGGAACCGATTATATCTTCCCCGATGCTAGCGCGATCCAAACATTGAAGGGAAAAGGAATGAACATCTTCCGGGTGGCCTTCAGGATGGAACGGCTGGTACCGAACTCCATGACGGGAGAGTTTGACGCTGGCTATCTAACCAATCTGACCGAGGTATGTTGTGCCATATCTACTTGAAGGAAAACAAGCGGATACTGATCTATGGCAGACGGTGAAAGCCATCACTGATGGAGGATCCCATGCTGTGCTTGATCCGCATAACTATGGAAGATAGTAGGTGTTCTATCAAGATTAAAAATGAACGAGCGAGTGAATCGAGGCTTATGGGTGCACACAGCAACGGCGAGATCATTTCAACCACCTCCGACTTCCAGACATTCTGGAAGAACGTTGCAGGCAAATTCGTTTCGAATGAGCTAGTCATTTTCGACACAAGTCAGTAGTACCCCAACCCATTAATCACATCCCAGGCCTTCCGTTAACCAAATCTCATGCACAGACAACGAATACCATGACATGGACCAAGATCTCGTCCTTAAGCTCAACCAGGCAGCCATTGACGGTATTCGCTCAGCTGGGGCAAAAAGCCAATATATCTTCGTGGAGGGCAACTCCTACACCGGCGCGTGGACCTGGACCAAGGTGAACGATAACCTGAAGGCCCTAACCGATCCCCAAGACAAGATCATCTACGAAATGCACCAGTATCTCGACTCGGACGGATCCGGCACGAGCGAGACGTGTGTGTCGACGACGATTGGAAAAGAGCGCGTGACGGACGCGACTCAGTGGCTGAAGGATAATAAGAAGGTTGGAGTCATAGGGGAGTTTGCCGGTGGTGTGAATGACAATTGCAAGACGGCGATTACGGGGATGCTTGATTATATGGGTGATAACTCGGAGGTCTGGCTCGGGGCATTGTGGTGGGCTGCTGGACCTTGGTGGGGTGATTATATCTTTAGTATGGAGCCTGCCAGCGGGACGGCGTACACGGGGATGTTGTCAACGTTGGAACCATACTTGGAGTGAATCCTGTCGACTGAGGCGAATATGAACATAGGTACTCTATATGTGGTATGTGAGTTATCAAGTTGGGTTGCTACAACATATATTTTCTTCAAAAAGCTTTTCGTGATCAACACAAGTTTTTTTTAGTGTTCAGGGAGGTACCAGAGAAAAAGATCAAAATTTTCAATGATGGCTATAGTTACAACATAGCTCATGTATCAGTTGTGGCCATATGAGAGGTGTTGTCGATCAGCGCATGGTTTTTCCGAAAAAGATCTCGGAAAATTGAAGGTGCGCAATAGTTAGGTTCATCAGCGCGGGATTAACCTGGATTGAGAGAAGTTTATCTTTAAAAAAAAATATATAAATATAGAACAAGGCATCACCATTAGTGGAGAGACAGCGGAGAGTGGAATGGTATACGGAGTAGCCTTGGAGGAAAGGGCGGGATATGGGATACGGGAGATAATGCCAAGAGAAAAGAATAGGGGAGCCTGGCATCTATCTCACACACAATGGGTAGTCCATACCCAGGCTTACGCAGTCTTGAGGCGGAGAGGGAAAATTTGAAAATGACCCACAAGGCTGATCAGAAGAGGATGACGAGGCTCGGATTCTGTTTTGGCTATTGGAATGTTGATCTTGGGTCAGAACTGATAGATTGGATTTGTACACTATAAATACGGAGTGTAAATTGGGGGATATCTTAGATATTTAAGATCGATAAAATGAGCTTATAATGCTTAGGAGAATAATGGCTTGCATATAAACAACATTGTATCTCCCAAATTGTTGTTCTTCTTACTGATCTGACTGTATGTTGTATATTGAATTGAATTGTATGTGGATGGAGGGATAAACAGAGAAGGATTCCGCTAAACCCAAATAGGACTAGCCTAAGCCTCAAATAGAAGCAAACGTGGCCCCGGCGACGTGATTGCTCGCTGATTGGTCCGCTGATCCTGCGCCTCCTTCCATGGGAGGCTGGAGTTTCTTTTTGAGAGGCTGTGCCTTTTTAGGTTGTACGTTGTTTACTCTCTCTTCTTTCTCGGGCGCATTTATATTAAAGTCATTTCCCCCATTCTCATCTCTCCACTTCTCATTCATCTCTCACTATCTTTATCTATATTCCTATATTTTCCATCAATACATCTCAATTCATTATGGGAAAAGCCGGTCGCATTGCGTGTATCTTCACGCCCTATGTCTTGACTATCGCGTCACTGATCTGCATCATTATGGTGGGATTGGGTTGCACAAAAGCCAGTTCTTCTACTTTGAACGATTTATACTTCATTCGTGTAAGTGATTAAACTTTCCACATGGTTACTGCGCCCGCTAATGCTAATAATCTATAGCTTGACCTCTCGAACATCAGTTCAGGATCGGCAATTACAACAGAAATCACAGATCGCCTCAGCGATGCCGGTATCACTGATGTCAGCGAAGCCGAGATCTCGTCCACCATCAAAACATTGCAGGATGATGCCAACATTGCGGATTTCTACGACATTGGTCTCTGGGGTTACTGCGAGGGAAATTCTACCGGCAGCAAGGATACCATCTCTTCATGCACAGAACCCAAGGCCCAGTTCTACTTCAACCCGGCTTCGGTCCTGGGCATGAGCGAGGCCCAGCTTGAGAAGGAGCTTGGTAGCAGCGTGAAGAAGATCATGAAAGTTTACAAGGCCGTCTCTAAGTGGATGTTCATCGCCTACCTAGTCGCATTTATTGCCACCTGCGCCCAGGTCCTGCTTGGCATCTTCGCCATCTTCAGCCGCTGGGGCAGCTGTGTCACCACCATTATCTCGATTGTTTCTTTCCTCTTCACTCTTGCCGCATCGCTCACCTCGACCATCATGTTCTCCATCGCAAAGGGCTCCCTCGGCACAGCACTCAAGGTCTACGGTGGCGAGGTAGGCTTGGGCAAGAACATCTACGTCGCTACATGGCTCGCAGTTGCTTTCTCTCTCGGAGCCACTATCTTCTGGATGCTCAGCACCTGTTGCTGCTCCGGCCGCTCGCCCTACAGCCACAAGGACCGCCGCAACAACCGCGGCAGCGTCACTGCAGAGAAGGCTCCCTACACTTATGAGCCCATTGGTGCCGCCCACCCTCCCTTCGGTTCCCAGGAGCCCCATGCTCCCCAGCACGGTTACAGCACCTCCTACCCTCCTCCCCCTGCCCACCACAATGATATCCCCATGACCCACAACAACCAGCAGTCAAGCGCCTACGAGCCCTTCCGTCACGCCTAAAAATATGCGGGGTTTCTATAACTGTACACCCAATTCTGGAGCGATTTTAGATTGGTGATACCAAGGCGTTATCGTGGCTTTTTGTAAATTTTTTTATGACCCATGTCCTTTTCCTCGATTTTTTTTACGATCTTCATGCCATTTTGCACAACGGGACTATAATCTCTATGGGAGGGAACAATTGCATTTCTGTATATTTTTCTGATCCTCTACGGAGGAATCATTAGTACCTATCTGCCTGCAAATTCTTCCAAATACAAAATCCATCTACAATTAACATCCGGCTCTTGAATCTCCTATCTCGTAGCGCTATTTTGTTCAAATGGGATATGACAGTACAAACCGTCAACAATAAAATATCTCATACAACATAGGTTTCTGGATCAAGAAGTCATCGCCGTAAGTCCATATGGTTCACATTATCCTGAAATGAGACAATGGCCCCTGCGGACGTGAGGGGCCTTAAGGGCCAAAGCTAGGATCTGCAGCGAGGCCCAAGCCTGACTGCTGCCGATCTCTACTTCGCTACATACATATTTGCACTGATATTATTCGATGCCGTCAGAGGCGTTGGGGCCCCACGGGGAATTTCGGAAGCATAAGTCCGATTGGGGGATGTTTTGTGGCTTTTCAAATTTATGAAACACGCGTATGACTAGATTTAGTGAATTCTGGGTTGATACGAAGTATTATCATCAGTAATATGAAAGGGGGTTCAACCGGTTTAAGGCTTGGATCTTCTGGTTCAACATCCAGGGCTAGGTGGTTAGAAGATATTGTACAAGAGAAATAACACAAATCTGAATCTGAAAAATGAGATAATACACCCTCCCATGTTTTGTTTCCCTTTGCTCGAGTAAGCATGAAAATCAAATGGTATCTGCCATTATGCGTACTCCTTGCCGATGCGCTGAGCCACTGGCCCATAGAAAATATAAATACAAATTCATGAATAAAAGGAGTTCCTAGGGATCAGGGTTCTTCTCCTGATTGTAGGTGGGCCAACGGATGACCCCCTTCTCATCAGTTAGAACCCTAGCTCCACCGCGACGCCTGATTTCCTGAGGAATGTTCTGGTCTTGGCGAGCCCAACGCTTGAACGGCGTGTCGGGGTCGTCGGACCACACAGGACCTTTGGGGAACATTTCCCGAAGAGATCGGAACCAGGGTCTTCGCTGCCTTGGTGGCTCGGGCTCGGCAGCTTTCAGACCACCCAGGGCCGCGGCCGCGGGCGGGGCGGGGGAGGCAGAGAGGCGCCGATCGTCGGTGTCATCGCCAAGTTCAATGCTGGCGGTTTCATGGTGAGTATCATCTCCTTCTTCTGTCTCGTCAATATCGTCCATGCCGGTTTCGGTAATGTCGGGGTCGTTCACATCAGGCGCAATGCGAGTGTTATCTGTGTCGTATTGCGTTGCATCAACCATCTCTTCATCATGACTGGAGGGCACAGGCTTTTGATCATTGCTGCTCGTAATAATTCGGGAGCCAATCGGTGGTTCATTGAAAGAATCATCTGGTTCTTCTTTAACCTCAACGGAATCCGAGCCGATACTGGCAGAGGATGACGATGACTGCGTTGTAGTGGGCATGGGGCCATCCGGAGCAGGAACATCATCGAAGGACTGGACATGTAGGGCTGGGATTTCTTCCACAAGACTGCCTGTGAAAGAAGCGTTGCGCACTTCGCTTTGCGACACTTTATCCTGGGTTACCTGGCTTTGGATTGTCGCTTGGTGTGGAACCAGCGGATTTCCTGGCTCGACACTAGTAGGTGGAACAAACTGAGACGCGACTATGTCAACTCCGTGGGCTGTGAGGCTTCTCTTTTTGTGTTGGGGGCGGGAGAATCGTGAGCAGAAAAAGTCCTCGTATTGAAGTGCCTTGGACTCTTGAGATGAAAGCCCCGAAAAGTAGCACGGGTACTCTTTCAAATGTTGAATGACGAAGTCATCCCAGAGAAATGACCGTTGTAGTTGGCCTTTTTGCCGCATTGTCTGCAGTTTCGAGCACATCCCAGTGAAGTGAGCGAAATCGCCAGAATACGGTGAATAATCATTGCAGAACTTTTCATAGATTGTCTGTGCTTCAGCGTACTTGTCAGACTTGCCGATAAAGCCCTGTCGCCGTGCTACCAACTCGACATTTGGACTGTGAGATGTGTTTTGGCCAGCATCAGCACTCTTGGGGCGCGGAGGACGTGAATATTTGGAAGGTGATTCTCCCTGAGCAGCGACCCAGGTAGTGAATTTCATAGGGGACAATTCCGGTACCTGCGAGGCTCCGCCGAGGGAAAATCCTCTCGAAGAATCTTGGCTTGGTTCATGAAGTTGGGACATGGGCAGAGAGTGAGACCTGGCATAAGGAAAAGATGACGGGTCGTCCGAGGGGTCTAGATGGAAGATGGATGACCCACGCTGTCGTTGAGCAGGTCTCGATGAATCGAGTACGACGTCCGAGGACGACTGGACTGTCCCTTGTGATGGTGCGTGTATGCTGCTCGTTTGAGTCTGAGTACCAAGAACATCCACTCGCAGTGATTCGTCTCCCAATACCGGCAAAGATGGATTTGGTGCCTCCTGGGATAGGTAACTGTGCCCGTTGCTATTTTGTGAGCGGTAGGTATTGAGAACTCGAGACGAGGGGGATGTCTTCGGAGCCTGAGAGTATGGCTGCTGAGAGCTCGGGGGCTGAAACCCAGCTCTCTGTTTCTTATCAGGATTCAGACGTGTGGTATGGACTGCAGGTGTCTCCACAACTTGGATGGTCCCCCCTGCAAATTTTGGAAGCGACGGCCCCGAGCTAGGAAGTTCCTGCTCAGGCTGACTGCTTAATGGAAGGCTTCCACCCAGAGCGTAAGGAACATATGTTTCCATCTCTGGCTCGTCGCTTTCATCGCTACTTGATTCATCACTCATTTCAGATTTAAGTGGGGGGTTCTCCACGGGTGTTTCATCACAAGAATATTCCTGTATCCGAGTTTGAGGTTGGTCATTGACCATATCAAGGGATGTTGAAGCCTCGTGATTTGGGGATGGGTCATCGCCGAGATCGCGGTCCAAAGACACCGGGTTTCTCGGGTTTGTGGGTATTTCCTCAAAAAACGGCGAACGTTGCTGGTCTGCTGTGTTGATATCCTCCTGCCCTGGATGAGGAGCACTGCAAAATCCATTCACCATGCTAACATCGCCATCTTCCGCAGATCGAACAATGCTATAATGAGTACTGCATGGCGTAGAAACTTTTCTGGTAGGCCTTACGAATGTTGGGGGAGAAGCGGTGTCCCGTGGAAGAACATCTCGAGCGGAGCTCCTATCTGGGGATTGAGACCATGGTAGGGGAGATGTAGAGGGATCTTGCGGGGTCGGGGTAGGGGCACGTTCAGATACTTGCTCCTCTTCATCTGCTTCATCTGCTTCTGCTTCTTCTGCCAAATGTTGCCGTCTTCGTGCAACCTTGTTCCACAGCGTCAAAAGATGAGGTGGTACATGGCATAGAGGTGTAGATACGCCGGGATCCTGAGGGATCCATTTAAGCCCTTCCAACAGTTCTGCCTGATCTTTTGGAATATCAACTTCGCTCAAAGGTATTTTTGTCATTCCTTCCCATGGATTTGTTGTAGATGGGCACACAATTTCTGGTTTGGTGCTTATGACCCCCCCGCTAGGAACTGATGGCACGGGCTTGGTTTGCACTTGTTCAAATCCAGTTGGGTCCGCTGGTATCACCACTCCAGCATTGGTACGCTGCCGCTTCTTGGAGGGTGATGTTTTTGGAGTTTGCCGGCCCTGTGGACCTAGGTCATTTTCATGAGCTGCTGGCGATGGCGCATCTGTGCTGCCACGATTTCTTTTCTTTGAAAACTGCTGGGTTTCCACCGTTCCAATGGTACGAGCCTGGCCATGATCATCCGACTGATTTGGAGATTGTTCAACCTGACTCCTACACTGCGCTATGAAGTTGTCCACTTCTTCTCGTATGATATTGACGGAAGATGGATCGGGAGGAGATTTACTAGTGCACCTCGCATCAGCAGTGTTGCTAGAAAGTCTCCGGAATAAATGTTGTATTCCGGTTAGAGATCTGTCAATGTCTTGTAGTGCCACTCACTTTATTTCATCTTTAGTGACTGTTTCTTTCGTTTGAATCGGATGGGCAGGCGCAAGCAGTCCTAGAAGATCCGATGACCCGTTGAGGGAAACGCGATTGGCCATTGAATTACCCTTTGGTGCACCATGGCACATATTAGGCGGGGGTTGGGAGAATAGCAATTGTGATGACGAGTGGATTTGAGAATGAGGTATGGTTTGATCAGAATGGGAGATAAATGAGTCCGTCAAGCCAGTAGTTGTTTGACTGTTGGAGCCAGCATGCCCTCGGGTCTTTTGGATTTTCTCGCACACCATAGTCATTAGGGCCCTGAGAGCCACTGTCTTCTTGAGTTTTGGCTTCGGCACATCCCCCTTTGGGACCGCATTCCGGTGGATAGTAATGTGATTGATGTGAAGGCAGATATCCGGGCTGGCTGCTGAGTATGTAAAAATGATCTTGATATCGGAAAGTTCAACCAGATGCCTGGGGCCTCCTTTGATCGACGGGGGGCAGGGAGAGGTTGCCCCCTGTGTGTCCGGCGAGTCTCGTGAAATAATGGCATCAATCTGATTCTTTGAGTCTGTGAGTGTGGCACGGTGATTGTGCTCTCCTTGTTCCCACTAATACACAAGAGTCATATAGTTAGCGACAATTCTTTTTTTCTTTCCTTGTTTTGCATCCGGTTAAGATATCTTACCAATACAACAATGGCTGCCTTGGGTACGGGGCTGCGAATACTGAAACTGAGGCATCCATCAACATCCTCCACCTGGACTTCATCTTTATCATTTTGACCGAGGTAGAATGAGAGACATTGGTCGGCCAAAGCCGCGATCCAGGGACTCACTGGATTCATCGTACGAATCCAGCCTTGTGATCAACTTGACACACAGCATATGGGTCATAGCTGGTAAGACTGTAAGCAGTGAGCATTGAATGCTTGTATCCCCAGCGTTTGTCGAAAAAAAAAGAAAAGAAAAGAAAAGGTCGCACCATATCAAAAATCCACCACTCAACCGCGTCTTATCGATTACCTGCCGAGGGGAGCCCTGGAGACGCGCCTAGCTTACTCAGCACCACCACGTCATTCAAAGTGCGGAGGGCAAAGGGATCTATTCTTTTTGTCCAAAGAAGTTTCTTTGATCACCCTGACAGCTGACAGATGCCTTTATTGGATCCTTGGTCTTCTTCTCCTTCTTCCAAACTCGCCAAAACCTGAGACCTTCCCGCAGTCCTGTCCCCGAATGATTATCGGCTATCCGCGGTGTATCCTGTATGGAGATGATCTGAGACCTTTCTGCCTAACTTGGCCATGGATTCTCAGCAGTCCCAGGACTCGCACAGTCCATCCGTACCTTCCAACTCGCTTCCTCTTGGGCGACGCGGATCACATGACTCTATGGCCACGACTCAGACCGAAAGAGAATCAATGAATGCAGCTCTGGATAACTACCATAATGCAGCGTACCAGTCCGAATCGCTCACTCTCTTCAACGATTTCACTAGCCCGCCAGATCCAGCTGCTACATCAGACGAGAAAGGACTGTCCGACGAGTTACAAGGCGGACTAAGCGGTCTGTATAGTCGCTTTAGGACTTCCGTCGGGGGAGTGAGAGATATTGTCAGCGGTGGTGGAAAGTCTACAGACAAAAATGCGACAGAAACTGCTGCAGCCAAGGGTCCTTTGTCGGAGCCTTCGATGGCAAAACCTGTCTCAGATCTTGCTACAAGCTCCGTCGACTACCCGCTATCACAGCCCAACCCGTCGCAAGGATCAAGGCTCCACTCGCCTGTTGTGCCAGACTTTCACACCCATCAAGATTCTGTGCAACCATCGAACGTAGGAAAGAGATCAAGAATATCCTCCAAAAGTGGCAGCATATCTTCCAAGGCCTCCGTGTCGCCATCCCCTGGAACCAAGCCCAGTGCTCCGTCAACGAAAGCCACTGGTAGCGCCACTGTGGCAGATCCTGCTGTCACTCAGTTTCATATGAACGTAATCGGAAAACCCGACCGCTCAAGAAGCAGCTCCGTCAATGGCCCCTTCCAGGGAAACCATAATGCAGGATCGATAAGTATCGTCAGCAAGGAAGGCCCTTTGGATCTTTCCATGAGTCAAACATCCTCTTCATTGAGTCAGGACCTTTCTAGTTCGCCGGTTCTGCCTGCAAAGATGCATAGCAGCCATCACGAGGAATTCAACTCCCAGGACTCACTCTTCTCGGCAACCTATACCCCAGATAACCAGTCTCGGAAGTCCATCTCTACTCCAGACCAACAAATGCTGGCCGAAAACACCTCGCAATTGACTAACATGGAAAATTACAAGCAATCTGAGCCACCTCAGGACCATATATCACAGCATTCGGAAGAAAGATCGAAATCACGAACATCTTTCCCTTCTGAAGAGCCGAAAGCTTCAGTTTCTCTGTCAAATAGTCTATCAACGCTCTCCTCTCATGATGAAGTACCATACAATGCTGAAAGACTCCAACCCAACAGGGAGACAAATATTCCCCGTGACAGCGCGAACCCCAATGAGCCTCCAAAGGCCACAGCCCCTGGCAGGTCGAATGAAGAGTCAGCGTCCTCAACCCGAGCAGCGCGATTGCCTGGCTACGTGATTTCACGGGCCTCCACGGCCGAAACTACCACAACGGTCTCTTCATTGCCCCCTTTGAGCACTGAATTCGATCGAGATACTGGTCAATCTCTACCAGCTAGGCGGCAACCTCCCGCCGGGGGCGACGGTCTTTTGTCGCAGTTAAGCAGTAAACTGCTTAGCAGGGACTTCTGGATGCGGGACGAGAATGCCAAAGACTGCTTCTATTGCGGAGAACCTTTCACAACATTTCGCAGAAAACACCACTGTCGAACGTGTGGTCAAATCTTTGATTCGAAATGCACCCTTCTTATTTCGGGAACACGGTTCGGACAACCTGGAAGTATTCGGGTTTGCAAACCCTGCGAGAAGATGATCAACGCGCACGACGATGATTCATCTGAATTCTCTGATAGCGAGCAGAGCCCCATAGTGGCCAATCCTCGAGTCTCCGAACTCGGCTGGACTAATACCGGGCGGGCATCTGCAGATGACGATGATTCATCTTCGGTTGTGTCTCAATCGGTCGATAATATTCTGGGAACACCAACGATGGCCATACCGGCCACACGACGGGCTGGAGAGGGACATAACCGCCGCTCGGCGGTCCTTGAAATTGATTCTGATCGCCCTTTAGCACGACCTACGTCTTCGCGGTCTCTGCGGTCCTCGCTAGGGGGAAGACCGCACTCTATCAGTCACAAACGTCACCACTCTCGTCAGCAATATATTCGGGGTTTCAAGTCGTACCATGAAGATCGAGCCCCCTTTCAACGCCGACATGCAGAAGACATAGACGCCGAATCTCGACTCCCTGCTTTTCATAAAGATAATATCATTGACCCTGACCTTGCTCAATATCTCTCGGATGACGCATCTAGTGGCGATGAGCAACCTAGTCTCTTGTCTGCAGTGTCTGAGGGCACCCTGTCCAAGAGTGGGGGTGAAAATGAGAGGGCATCCTTTGGTGGGCTTCTTGCTGCCATGAAAAAGGGCAGGTCTGCTTTTGGAGACCGAAATACTCCCAGCATGAATCGCGATGCAGACGAAGCCAGTATCACCGGTTCAAGAGCCGTGAATCTACCTCGTGCCTCCCGTCGTCGAAACCTGAGCGTTGCTAGCAGTTATCGACCGCGTCCTTCGCCCAGGACATCAAAGGACAAAATGTCCCTTCATGACACCTCGGCGCCAGCCATATCTTCACCCAAGAATACAGAGAAGGTCGGGCTCAAGATGACTCGGAGCTCATCAATGAGTGGCAATGATGCCCCACCGGTGGAATTGAACAAAGCCAGTCTTGAACATGTACGAAAGCTTCTGCATCAACTGCTTGTAGAATCTGCCGTGCCAAATGACCACAGTTGGGCAGACGCCTTGATGCCAATACTCTTGAAAACAGCAGACGAGGTCGATCCAGATGTCCAAAAAGGGGATGATATGGACATTCGACACTACGTAAAGTTGAAGAAGGTTCCGGGTGGCGCCCCTAGTGACACTTGTTATGTGTCGGGACTCGTTTTCACAAAGAACTTGGCTCTGAAAGGCATGTCGCGCCACATTTCGCGTCCAAACATCTTGATCATCACGTTTCCTCTTGAATACGCTCGTCAGCAACAACATTTCATGAGTCTCGAACCTGTTATTCGACAGGAGCGCGAGTTTCTAGAGAACTTGGTCAGTCGGATCTCAGCATTGCGTCCAAGCCTACTGCTGGTCGAGAAAACTGTTTCTGGCCTGGCTCTTGGTCTCCTCGAGCAAGCCGGAATTGCGACTGCATACAACGTGAAACCATCTGTTCTCGAGGCCGTGTCGAGATGTACACAGACTAGAATTGTGACATCTATGGACAAGCTCTTGACGACCACATTGCATAGTGAATGCAGCAGTTTCGACGTGAAAACCTATGTTAATCCTGGTCGAAGGAAAACATATATGTCCATCTCCGGCTGTCCGAAAGAGCTCGGGTGTACCATTATGCTGCGCGGAGGGGATGATCAAGTCCTCGGGAATGTTAAAAGGATCACTGAGTTCATGATCTACGTTGTGTACAATCTTCGCCTAGAAACAAATCTTATGCGGGATGAATTCGGGAGGATATCAACCGATGAACCGACGGTTCAGCCCGACAAAGACAAGACACCCAGTCCCCAGAGTATCACTCAAGAAGGCGGCGCACATCTAATCCACCAACCTACTGTTCAACAGGAAACAAAGGAGAAACTTTGCGATATCTCTGATAATCAGATTCTCGTTGATGCTGATGCTGCAAAAGTTCCAGACAACATCCCAATGCCAACATACCATGACGAGATGGTTCACGACTATAACACAAAAATTTTGTCGGCCTCTCCTTTTGTCAAATTCGAGCCTCCATATCTCCTAACGCGTGCGCGCGAGATGGAACGCAGACTTTCATATCTGAAGTCTCTTCGTGATCAAGACCGCAACTCGCATCAGACCATAGATGAAATGGCCAAACCCCAGAAATTCGTCCTCATAACCCCGGAAATGGTCCATCAATCACCACAAGATGCACCAGCAAAAGTCAAGGAAGTATTGCGTGCTGCGCATGAAGCCGAGTACGATCGGGCGCTTCATCACCATCAAACCCAAACACGCCAGTGGGAAGCCTACGTGGCGGGAAACCCTAACATGTTTGACCCTTATGCGCATCAGAATCTAGTCATTCTCTACAGTGTTGTGTGCACAACAACTTCAGTCCCCTGCTCAGGGCCAGATACTTTTGCCCTGGAATTCTACAATGAGCATGGAGATGACACAATTTTCGAGTCAGATCTTACAATCGGGCAGTATGTCGAGGACCTTTGTCATGCAGCGAATTCCGTATGCAACATCAACGGCTGCGAGAAGCGCATGTTCGAACACCACCGCCAGTACGTCCATGGCGAGGCTCAGATCAGCGTCCTGGTCCAGTCTTGTCCTCCTAAGCTCCGTGGGCTCCATAATTCCGTGCTGATGTGGAGCTGTTGCAAAGTTTGTGGTAATGAAACCCAAGTCATGCCTATGTCGTCGAGCACATGGAAATATTCATTCGGAAAATACTTGGAGCTGTCTTTCTGGGGAAGACACTGGCTTGCTCGTACTGGAGGTTGTTCACATGATTTGCGGCGGGATTACTTCCACTATTTTGGCTACAAGGATCTTGCTGTGCGAGTCCAATATGACCCCATTCGTCTTCTCGAGATTATTGTACCACGACCTCGTGTCACTTGGAAAGTGGACAACGATCTGAAGCTGAGGAACGAAGTATACTTGCGTACCGAGGAACGTCTCAGCAAATTTATGGCGTCTGTACAAGATCGATTGAAAAGCATCAAAATCACGAGTGTTATTCCCGAGCTAGTCGAGAGCTGCAAGACGGAAATTGAAACTTTGATCAAGAAGGGTCATGAAGACCATAGCTCTTTGGTCCGACACTTGCAAGACAGATACACAAGTTCTCGCTACTGGGAGATTATACCGCTGAATGAGGTCCTCCGTGCAGTTCAAGAAAAGGTTGTCGAATGGGACATGATATTTGCCGATTTCGAAATGAACTTTTTCCCATCAGAAAAGGATATCAAGCATATGGCAACGTTGCAACTCAAAAAGATCTTCCTCGACAAAGACGCAGCATCGGTTTCTACAGATGATGCCCTTCAGACTCCTACAGACGTCGAGGATGAACACAACCTGGCAGTCGACAGGCCACGGATGATGCGACGCATGACACTGTCACCAGAAAAGGCACAGAATGTACTAGTCTCCGTCGTCGAGGAGCATACTGGCAAAAAGCACCGCGAGGAACTCGACGAAGTTGAGTTGCCCTCTCCTCCATCGTCGGCCGAGGAAGCAACTTTATCACTCCATACAGCCGGTGGAACGAGGTCCTCTCCCCAGGATGAGGCTGTCTCACAAGAAGAAGTCCGTCATCTCGACTTGGCTGTTCCTACGGGTCAGTCGGAATGCAACTCCGTCGGCCATGCTGCCATTTCAAATGAACCTCCCATCAAGACTGATCTTCCGGTGATGATCCCCGGCGACGGATCATCGGAATCATCACCACCGGAAAATTCTGAGATTGCTGAAATTCCTGATCAAGAAACCAAGAGTGAGACCGAAGACAGCGGGGCTTCTGACATGCCAAGTACACCGGTGCGTCGGCCTTCAGCGATACCGAGACCTACCGAGGCAGCCTTTCGACGCACTAGTAAGGTACGATCCCCTCCGCTTGTGCGTGCTCAGTCTCAGCCAGCAAATCTACCACGATCATCTCAAAGCATTCAACTTCCAGGGTTGAAGTTAGCGTTCACCAACCCAATCGATCCGGAAAAGCCTGCAGGTCAATCATCAACAAAGCCATCGGATAGAAAGCTGAGCGATCGCTTGGGCTTGAATTCCCTCAAGACTGCCCGATTTGCTTCAGGTCACTCACTTATCCCACGGTCTACTCCTAGTAAAAAGGGGAATGTCGCAGGTTTCCAATCTTGCCAGGCATTTTGAACAATTGAGCCGTGAGTTCGAAAAGGAGAGACAGCGCGAAAGACGTCAACGCGCTGCCAAGGGCACTCAATCCCGAGCATTTCCATTGGCGTCCTCGAAGCCCATCGTGGAGGTCTATCGAAATGTACGAGAGGCTGTTGAAGAACGGGAACCACCCGTCGATAGCTACGAATCTCTGCCCTCGGCTCCACGGATCCCAATGAACGACATGAGTCGCAGGAGCGATGAACTTACGCATGATGATATAACTCATGATGAGCCCTCTCCACCAGATGATTCTTCACCAGCGCCTATAGAAGTGGACAGGGCACCCTCCCCTGACAACCAATTATTGTCCGGTGGCGAAGCGGATGACCACCAAAGTGATGAGGATCAAAACATGGTTGAAGATCTCCATCCGGTGGATTCCCATGAAGAGACCAAGCAGTCAACAGAGGACGATTCAATTGACTTCAAAGAACTCCCTAAACACGAGCGCACTACGCTTCTGAAAATTCTGACAAACTTCTGGTCTGAACGTTCTGCAAGTGGGTGGCCGTCTCTTGACTATCCACTCAGTGTCATGGATCATGTCTTTGCTGATTGCAACATTATTGTTCGCGAGGATGAACCAAGCTCTTTGGTAGCGTTTGCTTTGGACTCTTCCGACTACAAAGAAAAACTTTCAAGCATTCAACAACGGTTTGATGAGGCGGAAGAAAAACAACCAATTGACGGAGATGACATCGAGGCTGCGAAGGAAGCACGGGTCGAACATGCTCTCTTGCGACCTACGGGCACACACCTGAAATATCAATTCCAAGAAGGCCAGGCCAAGATGCTGTGCAAAGTGTTCTACGCTGAGCAGTTTGATGCTCTGCGCAAAAAGTGTGGTGTGGCAGATCGAGTCGTCGAGTCGTTGTCTCGGTGCGCAAAGTGGGACTCAAAAGGTGGCAAAACCAAATCGTTGTTCCTGAAGACCCTTGACGACCGTTTCATTCTCAAATCGCTCTCGCCCATTGAGACGCAGGCTTTCCTCAAATTTGCCCCGGCCTATTTCCAAATCATGTCCGAGGCCCTGTTCCATGAACTCCCTTCCGCAATCGCCAAGATGTTTGGCTTTTACCAAGTCATCATCAAGAACCCCGTCACAGGAATGGAGTTCAATTGGTTCTTGTTGCTAATGGAGAACTTGTTCTACGACCGTGTTCCTACGCGCATCTTTGATCTGAAAGGCTCGATGCGAAACCGCAAAGTTGAGAGCACCGGCGAACGGAATGAGGTTCTCTTGGACGAGAACATGGTGGATTTCATCTATGAGACACCTCTCTTTGCCCGCGAGCACTCAAAGAAGCTTCTTGGCCAAAGTGTGTGGAATGACACACTCTTCTTGGGTCGTCAAGACGTCATGGACTACTCGCTCATGATCGCCATCGATGAAAGCCGCAACGAACTGGTGGTAGGGATCATTGACTGCATCCGCACGTACACCTGGGACAAAAAGCTCGAGTCCTGGATCAAGGACAAAGGATTTGGTGGCGGTGGCCGCAATCGCCCAACGGTCACAAGTCCCAGGGAATACAAGGGCCGGTTCCGTGAGGCAATGGCTCGATATGTGCTTCAAGCTCCAAGGTTAGTTGATATATCCTCTCTCAATTGTGCAACTTAGTACTAACAATTTTAGCTGCTGGCATCAATTCCAACCAAGTGCGATGTACCGCTATGAGAACCACCCCACTGAATCTGAGACTGTTGATGGGAACGGGTTTGTAGAAGACCCCGGTTACTAATGGTCTTCATTTTGCTCTACGGCCATGAACAACTAATTTACATTAATGATTTACGACTTGATGGATTTGCATGAAGAGGCGGAGCGTAGCGTGATGGTTTTCATTTGTTGCGAATTTTCTCTTTATCATGACTTTGCATTCAACACACTCACTTCATACCAGCATTTTCATAGCCAGTCCTAGATTATTTCCATTTACTCAAATGATATCATGTCAATTTGTAATATGTCGCTTTATAAACCACCTACTTTGTATTTATGCTATGAGAAGCAGAACCCTACAAGCCCTGCCACCCTTTTTATGCTAGTTTCTAGTGCGCAACCTCGAGTCAAAGCTTTGGGCTACGACATTCTTTTTATAAATGTTGGTCCAAACCTACATGAATAAGTGAATAGGCCGTGGATGAAAGGTCATATTTAGCAAGTCTTGTTGTATGTTATGAAGTAATATATTCAAAGCTCTCATCCATTCGGAAGAAGTATATTGCCCAACTTTTAATCCTTATTTATTTATTTTATAAGTAGTACATGATATATATTTTAAAAATGATAGAGAAATCCGTCTAAGGTGTGTGTGTGTGTGCAACCAGTGGACACTAATTTGGGCAGTGACACCCATTGGAAATATCCTCTTCATGGGTTAATGGGTTAAATGTTGTTGGATGGTTCAATTGTCCATGTTGCTTTTTAGGGGAACGGGAGCTAAGAGCTCAGCCCCGGTATACGTGTTTACCAAGAAGTATATCCCGGCCCTGATTTTGCTGTAGATGATTCGTATTCCACAGTCACATCATCCTTTCGATGGATATGTCCTAGAGGATGGCTATTCTTCCCGTGGTCATCAGTGGGAAGGATGTTTTCTTGACTCTCTTGGTTGTCGATGTTGGTAAATCCAAGATCGTCGTGCGTTTTTGACTGCTTGGAGCGATGGAATGTGGACGGGAAATTGCTGCTGTTTTTGTACTGATCACTTTTTCCTTGGCTGTAGGAGCCCAGGGCTCGTTTTCCGAGAATGATTTCGAGGAGGGGTTGTAAGGTGGGAATACAGGATGCTATCACGACGACGTTGGCCTCGATACTACACGGAGAACAAAGGGTTAGATCGCGTAACATAATAAGGATATCAGATAGGGGTGCTCACTTGGTCCACATGACAAGGTCGGCAGTGCCGTCTTTTATTTGGTCAGCCTTTGATCGTAGAGGGATAATGGGGTGGTAGAAGAAAGCTCACATGTATAGTCAGATTTGTCGGCGAGTCCATGCAGCTGGGTACACTTGATAATCGCCATCGCAGAGGCACTTCATTGCCACTTCGGTCAGCTTCTGGGAAGTATGGAATGAGTTAAGAGAGGTATGGGCTTACATTGAACCAAGCCCTAAAGCAGAACACAACGCAATTCTCTTTCGTAGAGACATTTGTAGTTTCAACAAGATTGTGGTCGGATAAATGGCCAGAGATAGATCAACAACAGCGGAGACAGCTAGAAGTACAGGTTAATTCCGAGAGGTGCAGATATTCGAAGAGGAAGAGACCTACCTCCAGTGAAAATAGCATAGTCAATAAGCATCGTTGTGCTCTTGCACTTGGCGCCTGCTGCCACAAGTCTAGGCTTCCACAATGCCTCTGCCGGATCGCACATTGTAAACAAGATCACAATGCAGATAATGGACACGACGGCTGCCGTTCCCACCATCATCCATAGTATAGTCTTGTGTAATGGCTTGGGATTCAAGATCCGGGTCAACATGGAGGTCACAGCAATCTTGGGAAGAGTGAAAGAGAGAATGCCAAACAAGAAGCTGACTGTATTGAGTAGAATGGCCATCTCCAGATTGTCCATACTCAAGTACATGGCATGTCTTCCATAGCCCACCTTCACCCCTGCTGTAGAGACTCCACAGTATGCAACCCCTAGTATCTAGCATAAAACCCCCCAGTTAGATTCATCTATATAAGACAGCGTTCGAGGTTTCTTACCATAGAAACCACAATCAAATAATCATCCATACCAAAATTCCGTAGCAACTTCAACCGAATGTAAACCCGAGCTATGACCATGATCGTTGTTAGTCCAGTCAAAGTCCATAGCACAGCCAGAATCTTAGGTCCCTTGTCATCGTGAAGATTTTCAGCGGTGACCACCATTATTATGTTAAGCTTGATGCGGAAAAAGCGAGCGAGTGCGAGAGAAAGTGCGATCCATTGGATTATATAGAACCCCTATGGGAACCTGCTAAAATTAACACTAGCATAGCAAGATTTACAAGAAAATGATACATAGATTTAGGGACGGGATTGATTCTAGATGTCCCATTATCCGACTAACTATTCCTGGAGGTCCAGCAAACAGGAAATCTTTTCGATTGTCCGTTACGACGATCGCCCGTTTTGGCAGGTGGTGTTTTTCATCTTTTTATAAACACCATATACCACTGTTCGGCGATCAATATCCGAGGCTATGGTTACCGACAGTTCCGTTGGTACTCCGTACATACTACGGAGTAGTCAGTCCACTTTTGAGTCAGATAGGGGTATATACCTTGATAGCACCCTTGTCCCTTGTCGCACTAACCAGTTAGTCGATGCCGCTAAAATACATGACAGCAGGCAGACGTCCTTCATCCCGGATGATCTCTTGCGGGCCTCCGGTGCTACATGGTAAATAGTGAATAGCCACGGAAGTACGGAGAACAGACTAATGATATGAAGAGAGTCAGTGGCTTGTTTTCACATGCCAGCTGGGCTGGATCTTCCCTGAAACCCAAGTTGAATCAGACACTAGTACTCCGTACTGAGTACTGAGTACGTCAAATATGAATTATAAAACCACAATATAGAGTTCACCTCCCCGGGGGCTGCGACGCAACCGAGGTCAATATCCTCCACTATCCCTCCACTATGAAATGGGGTCCAAAGTACCGAAAATACGCCACACACCCCGTTAACCCGTCCCGTCTGACAGCATTGGATGTGGATCCCAATATATATTTCGATCCATTCAGGCCGGTTTGGTCGGAATCTTAGCCTTTCTGATATGTAAATGTCTGTCATTGACGTACACATGCTCCACTGTGTACAGGACAAAATTACAGGGTTCTTTGGCACAAATATAATAAGGAAATTCCAAGCCTGTCCAAAGTCGGTTGGGCATATCAACTACAACATACGATAGGCAAGTAATAACCTGGTAGTTCCTCCACACCATGTGATGGGTCCATCCGGGGACCTGGAAAGGTCCATCCGCTCTAATTTTAATAGAATTTCCTCCTACTTCGTATTTTCACTATTGCGTTCAAATGAGTACGGGGTAATGCGCCGTTAGACAATCTACTACATAGTCGATTACCCGAATAGGAAAACCGTTCAGCTACCGAGTCTCCACTTCCTGGACCCCCAACCTTCGCAACAACAGGGGCTAGCATGACCCGAGGGGAATTACTCCAGGTCGATCGTTCTGACAGTGGACCCGCAGGGTTGCACCCGGTCCAACCGTCACTCACCTGGCATATCTTCCTTGTAAGAAAAGGAGACAGTGACTGCGGCATATCCCAGGAAAGGGGATGCATATATAGTGAATGTAGTGTAGTTTATTTCAAGGCCCCTCGAGTACTTTTGGCTTGTACAGTTAGTTACAACCTCCACAATGAACGACCTCGCGAGCCTTACATTCAGTGAAACCACCCACACGAACGGCACAAGTCCTGCAAATGGAGATTCTCAGACCAACGGAGACCTCCAGGATGCCTTCGTCGACCGCGTAGCAACTTCCGCCAACACACCCGAGCTGGTTCCTGGCCTGGTCGATCAAGTTGCTTCTCTTGGCAAAGTCGCCAGTCTGCAAGACCACACCGATCGGACAACACTTTTGGAAGCCGCTCGCTCCTTGGTCTATGCACTTGAAACTCCGCGTGAGGCTATGATCAGATACTGCTGGTCCCAGGTATGTTCGCATTCTTCGAGAGCGTCACCTTTGTGTCGTTGGCGGGAACTAATATCGACTTTATAGGCTACTCTGTATGCTTCTGTAGAGACAGCTGTTGACCTAGGAATCTTTGCTATCTTATCCAAAGATGAGAGGCCCAAGTCTGCTGCCGAGCTGGCTAATGCCACATGTGCTGACCCAGTGCTTCTTGGTATGTAAATTTGCGCGTCTCACCCTGCGTCTTGTCGAGTACACCTAACTAACTATATATATCTGATCAGCTCGTATCCTGAAGCATCTGTGTGCAATGGGAGTTATCCTCGAGACCGGTCCGAACGAATACCGCCGCACCGGAATTTCCATTTCGTTGAGCTTGCAACGATATAATGATGCATACCCTTGCATGTAAGTCTGATCCCGTGGACCCGGGATCAAAAGGGTATAATACTAACCCACCGGCTAGGACCAACTGCATCACCTCCGGCGTGCTTGCTCTACCTGCCCAACTCAAGAAAGACGGTTATGCCAACCCAGCCAACGGCAAGGAATGTGCCTTCCAGCGCGGATTCCGAACCGATCTTCACTTCTTCGAGTTCATGAAGGAGAATCCAGAGGTTGCTAGCCAGTTCAACAATCATATGTCCGTCTACCACCAAGGACGTCCTAGCTGGATGGATGCTGGTTTCTACGATGTGCCCAACCTGTTCTCCGATGTTGCGCGGGATGACGTTCTCCTCGTAGATGTCGGTGGCGGCATGGGCCACGATCTCTCGGAGTTTAGGCGAAAGTGGTCTGATGCTCCAGGGCGTCTGGTGCTCCAGGACCTTCCCGATGTTATCGATCAAGCCAAGTCAGGACAACTGCACCCCTCGATCGAGGCAATGGAGCATGACTTCTTCACCGAGCAGCCAATCAAGGGTATGGCTTCTTCTTCTATAACCCCGCCCCCTCTTGACTTGTATCAATGTTAATATTTTCTTCCGTAGGTGCTCGCGCTTACTATATGCACTCTGTCCTCCACGATTGGACAGATGATAATTGCCGTAAGATCTTGAAAGGTCTTGTGGATGTCATGAAACGAGGACACAGTAAGGTGCTGATTAACGAGAATGTCATCCCTGATACAAACGCATACTGGGAGACAACCAGTTTGGATATTATCATGATGGCTGATTTCGCTTCGACCGAGCGAACTGAAGCTCACTGGCACCAGCTGGTGGGATCTGCTGGGCTGAAGATCACGAAGGTTTGGAGTGTCCAGAAAGGAGTCGAGAGTCTTATTGAGTGTGAATTGGCATAGGTGGTGTTGGAGGTTCTGACACTCAGAATCATGGAATGTATAGATGTTTTAGGATTTTAGGGTTAAATTAAATTAATATATTTTGAGGATATGTGGACCAGTATAAACAATAACTTAGTTTCCATACCTGCTATTAAGGGACAGGCCATATAATGTCCTGAAATGACGGAGATCTATACATCACCTACGGAGTAGTTAATCTCAATATTGGAACCCTCGGCAGAAACCGGGTTCGGGACGGCAAAGGCTCCGCGAAATTTGTTTTAACGAATTTAATAATTTAATCGTCCTTGTTTTTCTAATTCTCTTTTTATTTCTTTCGCTACTGTGACATAGACAAGATTTCGAAAAAAAAATTCGAATCATTCCCTGCTACAGAGAGTGGGAAGCACAGAATACGTCTGCGGTATATGCCCGGGTGATATCGTCATCCTCTCGGGCAGACGGGCCCTCGGTGTCGGGGGGGATTTTAAGGTCGCCTGCCTCGGGTCCCTTGCGTTCCCCCGCACCAGGTTTTTGTTCGTTCGTTTTTTTTTTTTTTCTTCTTCTTTCGACTGGAGTCCTCTTTTAAGGGGAACATTCCAGTTCCAATTGCGCATTGACTTCAGAGCAGTCAGACTATGCGTTGATAAGTGAATGCAAGAAGACTATTGTGACAATCGCGAACTCTCGACGCGCTACACAACAAGCCTACGAGGAGTCAAGCACAAAATACCAGTTTCATGTCTATTCAATTTGAATTGTCTAGTCTTTATTAACCCACTAATCCAACTAATTTGACAGGAAAGCATAGAATTCGTTTCATTTACATGAGCAATGTATTAACCTTCCAGACTGTGGTCCAGACCACACAGCGCAGAACAAACTTGGCTTCGAAAGCAAAAAAAAATGTGAGAACAAAGAACTAAAAGAGGTATGTATCCAATCCGCACACCGGCGGTCAAAAAAAGCACGCTGGACCATCGATCATCGAAAGCTTATCTGATTGACTTTACAGATTTACTCCATGGCCAGACCGAGGTTCTCATCGGCGGGCACCACACGAACGGTGTTGGTGTGGCCCATACCGCCACGCCATCCCTGGACGCAGACAATAGGGTCGCCCTTGTTGATGATTCCGAGCTTGAGACCGTGGTTGATACCCCACTTGAGGCGACGGTCGACATCCTCCTGCCAGATCTTGACGTTGAAGTCGGGCTTGCTCTCGGGGAAGTAGAACGGCCAAACACCGCGGTACAGGTGGGAGTACTGGAAACTATTGTCAGCAAAGAACGGCATTCAAACGATCGAATTGGACTTACGCGGGCAGCGGTATCATTGCGAGTGACCATCAGGATGGGGCAGACGGGACGGTACTTGGACACAAGGCGGGCGGTTTTACCACTATGGATTTGTTAGTATGATCGTCATACAAAACGATAGAAATGGGTTTCCGGCACATACCTGGTGGTCAGAACAATGATGGCACCGGCGTTCAGCTCCAGACTGGCGCTGACAGCGGCCATGGCAACGGACTCGGAGGTCTCAGTGGGGCGAGGGGCGAGGTTGCGCAGCTCGTCGAAGACGTTGAAGTGAGGAATGGCAACCTCAGCCAGCAAGCAGGTCTCGGACATCATCTTAACGGCCTCGCAAGGGTAGTTACCCTTGGCGGTCTCACCAGACAGCATGACACAGTCGGCACCGTCGAGAACGGCGTTGGCGACATCGGAGACCTCAGCACGAGTGGGGCGGGGGTTGTATGTCATGGACTCCAGCATCTGAGTGGCACAGATAACGGGCTTGCCCTTGATGTTGCACTTGGCGATCATCATCTTCTGGGCAAGGAAGACCTTGGGGGCGGGGATCTCGATACCGAGGTCACCACGGGCGACCATAACACCGTCGGTCTCAGCGAGAATCTCATCGAAGTTGTTGACACCCTGCTGGTTCTCAATCTTGGCGATGATCTGAATCTCCTTGCCGTCCTCGCCAAGGATGGAACGGATGTGCTTGATGTCGCTGCCGCGACGGATAAATGAGGCAAACACCATGTCGACCTTGTTCTTAACACCGAATCGCAAATCGGCAATATCCTTCTCCGAGAGAGCGGGGAGGTCTACATCAGTGCCGGGCAGGTTGACACCCTTGCGGGATGAGATGTTGCCGTCGTTCAGGCACTTGACCTTAAGGGTCTGCTCATCAACAACCTCAATCACCTCGAAGGACAGAATGCCATCGTCGACGTAAATGAGCTTGCCAGGAGTGATCACATTGGTGATGTTCTTGTAGTCCAAGTACCTGTCGTCAAACACTTGTCAGCCCACGTCACATGTCAAACTCGTTCAGCCACGCAGATACATGGAACGAATGTCGATTAAAACAATCCAGTCTTCGGCAATGATAATGTTCTTACATGTTCTTATCATCAGAAGCAGCGGCGTATGCCTCATCGGTGGTGATGTTGAGCACGGTGCCCTGCTTGATGGGGAAGTCCTTGTCACCGACGGTGTTACCGGTACGGATCTCGGGGCCCTTGGTGTCGAGCGCAATAGCGAGAGGGCGTCCGACCTGGAGACGGGCAGCCTCGCGAGCGTTGTCAATGACGGATTGGTGGTACTACAGACAAAGTCAGTGAAAGTCTTCATCAGATGTTGGTTGGAGATACTGACCTCGTATGATCCGTGGGAGAAGTTCATGCGAACAACGTTAAGACCGACTATGGCCAATGTCAGTCTAACTACCCAACAAAGCTGCTCATTTCCATCGGAAACTTCATTTCCATACCTGTGCGGAGAGCATTGATCTTCTCGGCGGAGTTCGTCTTGGGACCTGATCGATTGCCTGTTAGTATTCGGTCTTTTTTTCTCCATTGCAACTTCTTCGACAGGATCAATCTGAAGAGTTTATTATCGGTCTTACATACCAATGGTACAAATGATGGAGGTGCGGCGGAAGTTCTTCGCAGGCACCATCTCGGTGTTGAGCTTGGAGTGCCACTCCAGCTTCATGCGGTTGCTCAGGTGGTCAAGGGAGTTGGTGGCCGCCATTTTGATATGATCAACAATTGTTGAATTAGTTTAGAAAGGGTAAGGGAGTTCTGATCAATTGAGAATCAGAGAGGATGGTAGAAGAGAAAGGTGAGAGAGATGGAGGGGGAAGAGAAAACGGATGGGTGCGGGGCGGGAGGGAAAATGTTGGCCGCCGGTGTGAGTATTGGTTCCATCCATCTTGACACTTTTTTTTTTTTTTTTTTATCTTACTATTGACACCAGACAATATCTATATCAAATTAATCTACGAGTTCTATGAAATATGAGCATCTGCCTGGTATTCTTTCTTTCTCTTTAGCTACCTATATTTTTCATTTACTGAGCTGGAGTTGTCGGCATAGGCGGCATAAATAGTGTAGGCAGAAAAAAAATATATCAACTCCAGACTGGGTTGACCGCAAAAAAGCGGAGGATTGCCCCGTGCTGGCCTACGCGCTGTAGATTGGAGTCCTTCGTATCGCATAAATGTGACAAATACAGACACCCAATTGATCGAGCCCCAGCTCAGAGATCCCCCGGGGCCCAGAGGGCGAAAGGGGATTTCGGTGGGAGGAGCATGCTTATCGATAGACTGAATCTGGGCTAGGCAGCCTGAACAGCCCCAGCCACATTGTAGATTATGTCAGGCACCCAATTTCACCAGCCTCATCTCCAGCCACTCTAGAGACGTCATGTGAATTTACACGTGACCACTCTTTAGGCGGTCTCCATGGCAGCTTGGGTCTCCTCTTACTTTTGTCTCCCAAGCTTTTTGGTGACCGGTTACTTAATATCCACAGTTTGATACCTTCTACTTGGCATCATGGTAAGAGACCCTTGCTGGTTGATCTCGGACAGCCGAGGTTCCCAGAACATAGAGCATGCCATGACTGACTTGGATGTTCGCTGCAATCTAGTTCGGCCGTATTACCCACTACGCATTTGATGCGGTCCTCTGTGAGTTCTAAGTCTCTACTGTGCCTAGGAATGCAAACTAACCAGTTCCTTGAACTTCAGTCTCCGCCTTCCTGGCAGGTGTTAAGCGCTCCACGGGCCTAACGTAAATACACCCCTACCCCTCACGATCCTCTTCTTCCGAGCTATGATTTATTCTGCTTGTTGCTCGTCTTGGGCGCCCTCGATATGCATGGGAGAACTGTTCGCTAACTCTGTTACCCTTCGCGCACCCCCGTTGGGTCGTGTGTGCGTGGGACTTTCCTAGCCCCAGCCTCAATTCAGACAAGATCACAGAAAACAAAGACGTCAAGAAATGGGTTGACAGCTACCTTGGTGTTGGCGAGTGGATGATGGACCAGTCCGTGGCTGTCATGGGCTCGTCTGCCTGGTTTGAACGACGCCGGTGATTGGCGCTGCCATACTCCAACACGGGAAGACGATCGGCGATCCCTTTGTCTTGATTTGAGACTTTCGGCCATTTGATGATGTGTCTATGATAGCGGACTCTCAAGTGATACGCATTGAAACTTTCGGGGGCGCATAAATCGCCGCGGCACTGGACTGGCGGCATGGGCCTTGGTCTCGACACTTGGCCCTATGGCAATATGTTACAATATCAGTACGTACAACATACAGATTGAGTCTGTGTTGTGGACGGTGTCTCTTTTCAAACCATCCAGCCGCCCCAAGTATATGCTTCAAGGCTGGAATGACGAATGATGACCAATTCTTACCTGCGCTCCAGCCTCCACTTTCGACCGATGCTTTTAAGGTTGTGGCGTCTTGGCTTTTTCGATACCTTTTGTCTTTCTGCCTGTTCTATATCACCACACAAATTCAGCCATGGGGTTAGCAGACAATCTTTCGCATATTCTCCTCGTAGATATAAACACAATTCATAAGCACGCCAAGATCTTTGTTACCAACAGCGTGCAATCCGGGTAACCTGAGATCATTCTTTTGGTGCATACCTAGGCCTGGGTCGGTATTGAATGCCTGAGACTAAGGGTGTTGATTTCTTGACTCTCTGTCGGAAAATTCCCCAGCTGACGAGCTTCGGCTCAGACATCATCGTACACTATACAGCGTGCCAAGCCCCCCGAGAAGACCTGTAGACCTGTTGAGCATTGTCCAATATTGCACCTTGATAATTTCCCTCTGTCGCCGTAGAATAAGTTTATAGAAAGGTAAGAAGTATATGGCAGAACAAGAAGGTCTAAAAATGTCATTTATGGCTATCTTAAGTTATGTTATGGGAAAGAGAGCAAATGAGTCTTCAGACAAAAAAAGAGACGCAGTCAAAGGACTCTCTCTTACCACTTGGCAACGAAGGCTCCTGAAACCTCGCAAGATCAACTCAATGCGTGTCTTGCTCTTCATGGACGTCCGTTAGCGTGTCGATGTAGCGGCAATCTCGGACCGCACGTTCAGCTATGGCTAGATATCTTTTCTCAATCTTACCCCAGTCCCATGTCTTCATAAACCGGACTCCTTCTTCAACTCTTTTCTGGTAGTCCTCGTCGCTCTCCGGGTCTTTGAGATAGGTGCATATGATCGTATTACCCGGTCCGTCCTTGAGAACATAAGCAGAAATAAAACCCCCAAGGTTCTTTTCAACCCGAGCTCTGTTACTGTCACCAATGGAGAGTTGTAGAAGATGACGTATCAAGGACGATATGTAATGAGAAGGCTTAGGGGTGAGAAGGTTGAGCTCATGGGCAAATGTCGAGGGCACCTCAACAGTTTCCTCAAGGGTGAACCCAACCAATGATAGAGGGAGAAGATGTGCACGCGTCCAGCCCTGGCCATCAAGGTCGTGCATCAAAGTTTGGGTTTCCCAGGGTCCAGGGTATGCAGAGTATCCAGGCCACTTTTGGACTGGGATAAGAAGGCGAGCATAGTTGTTCTCGAGCAGCACCTGTGAGGCAAACAACAATTGTTCATCAGGCACAACCCACTCCACAAGCTGGTGAAATGTTTAACAAAAGATTCGACCAAAGCGATAAAGAGAAAGTTTCCCCACTCACAATCAGAACTTCTCCATATCCGTATCTGTAAAGAACCTGGTTCCCATACTCCACAACCGAGATAGAGTTGTCGATGAGCGCTTTCAAGGCTTCTCTCATCACGGGACTGTGGAACTGCTGGCCGTGCGGCTCAACAAGTTGTGCGACTGGTTTCTCGATCTGACCTAATTCTCCCAAGAGGCCTAGGCTAGGCTGAGAAAATGAATTCGGTTCGATGATAGGGAATGTAGGAAGAGGGGTTAATGGTCTTTCGGTCTCATTGGGAGGTGTTCGCATTGCCTCGATGGCCGGCGAGGCCGGAAGGAGGACTGCGATCCCTTCGGTCTCCTCAGTCTCCATGACTTATGATCTGTAATTGCAAACGGTAATTGCAAAGAAGTGGCACTCGAGAGAATCAGAGACTGTGTTGCTTGTTATCACAAGGCTGGAGCGTAGTGGAAAGAGACAAGATAGAGTGGCAGGAATAAGACCTGGGGTTGGGGTGATGGAATGAATGGTGTGTAAAGTAGCATTTGTCTAATCTCACGACTATTCCCTTCTCTTCCTCACTTCTGAACCGAACTACGATCTTGTTGGTTTGTTTGCCTTCCTCCTCTTCCTCCACCTCATTTCTTTCAATATCAGATCACTTCTTTTCTTCTCCTTCTCTTCTCTTCCTCCTCACCAACCACTATGAAGCATTCCTTCCTTCTTCCAATTTCTCTTTCTTCCTCCTAAATAACTGCTATCTCTTCACTATCTCTTGCTTTTTCCTCGACAAGCGCTATCTGAACTATCCTCGCCTCTTTCGTTCTTCTTTTTGGAACAACCATCACCATTTCGCTCAACTCAAGTGAATCCAACCACCTATATGCGACTTCAGCAAGCCTTTCAAGGACTCTACAATCTCCGTATGTATGTACCATGGGGATCTTTCGACTCGAAGTAGTGCAATATGGCAATATGATCCGGAGTACAAAGGGCTTGCTGGGAGCTCTCCCAAAATATCAAAACTCAATGCAACATAAACAATAAGTACAACATAAATGCAACATGAGCACACAGGGGTATGTAACGAAGCTTTTTCCTAGAAAAGAATTAAAAATGAAACGAGAACCACAAAACCACAGAACCATGCCAGTCAACTATGGACTATCCAGTAGAGCGTCGAGGTCCACACGGCGGAAATAGGAGACATGACCCATTTCCTTCCAGTAATGAGCCATGTGGTCAGAAGAAATGAGGATCAGTTGGGAGTCAATGTAGGTATCTGTCGAATGACATGTTAGAAAGGATCACTTTGATTCATTTAGAAGGCAGCTTACCATCACGGAACCCAAGTCCAGCTACATGACCGCGACAACGCACAATTCGAGCGCCGACAAAAGGCTCTTCTGTCCCGACGCCAACCAAGCCTTTGGAGCCAATATCTTGGGCAGCAAACGACAACTGGCCACGAGGAACATTATGGTCACCTGTCAGCTTGACAGCCTGCAACGGACCTTGCTGTCCAATAACCTCCTGGTTGTCATGTTCGACCTCATCCTGGGCGTCTGTTATCTGCGATTCGTTTTCATCACCAGGTGCCGGAACCGTCGTCTCTTTTTGGAGAACAAGCAGGAATTCACACCCATGGGTTGAGTAGTCTCCAACCCAAATTCCCTGGTAGGGTTTATCTGTAGTGGGGGTGTAAAGGACAGGGTCGAGAGTTGAAAAAGTTACACACACTTGTGGCAACATAAGCTCTGGGCTTGCCCACCTCCTGAGACGGAAAAACGATTCTGACAATTCCGACAAAGGGCTCAGTATTGTCGGGGGTGGAATCCTCAAAGCACGAACTGTGTGCCCATTGGCCGGGATAGTTGGTGGTGGCCAAAGCAAAGAAGGATCGACCCAAGGTACTCGGAGGCTAAATTCAGCGCACACCGAGAGCGAATTGTAGATATTCTCCGCATCCGAGGCCATGGACATGTGTCGTTCCTCTGCTGAATAAAAGCTTTGGATTGGGGCAGTTCGCGAGGATGGATCAGGGTCGTTGAGAAGCAAGATAGGACCACGCAGTGCCAGATGTACATTTGGTTCGAAGGACTGTATAATAACTTCTGGGTGTGATGTCCATATTTGAAACTGAGGAGTGCCACGTTCTGCGAGGACCGTGTGTGCTTCAATCACACCACGGCGATCATCATATCGAGCTATGATAAGCATCCCCGTGTTTTCATTGTCTGCGAACCAGATCTTATGCTGAGGAATGAACCAGTAAGGGTGATATGCAAGATAGAGACGACGAAATGACCCAAAGGGACCTGGGCTCCGGATAGGCGTAGGCAGTCTCTTGTTCACCAGGTTAGCCCATAGCAAGTCATCCGATGCATGAACGGCGAGGGTCCGGCAAGTGGAACCGAGGCAGGTGAGATCTACAGCTGAGAGATAAGACGCAATATGTTGAACGATCTCAGCGGGTAATTTCCCAAGGAATGATAATTGATTTGCGGGTGGAGAAAGCTGATCGTCGGGGCCATCGTTGCTTTGTTCCTGCGACATCAAAATGTGAGTATAAGGCCACAGTAATTTTATTGGCAATAATTAGACATACACGGATAAATTGGGTGGTAGTCATTTTTCTTTCAACGCACTGAGAGTTGTAAGAGATACGTGACAGGGTTGAGCCTCTTCGTGTCGAAAATGACATCACTGGGAGATCAGGGGAGGGGGAAATGTTGTATGTAGGTCTGGAGTCACACGGAGGTGAGAAGGGGAATAAGATCAAGCAGAAAAGTGGTTTAGTCCGACTAATATTGCCGACAATGCCAACATTGGAGGAATATTGCAGGGTTTCGGTTGAGAGCTGTCCATTTGGAGCTCATAATGTATCCCTTGTGGCAGTGTAGGGTAGCTCTGATATGTACAAGTGCTTGACAATATCCAGTTCCCAATCTCCTTCCAGGCAGCTAAGTATCTGTATATGAATAAATCGTTAAGCTTGAACATACCTAGGTCTACTATTATTGACATACCTCGATAAGTATAAACTTAAATGATGAAGTCACCTGATTGCCCAAAGAAGCATCTTGTTTACCATTGCCGGAATAGGCAATATGAATCTACCTAGGTAGACACACATCTAGGCGCCTATTGCCTCTAGAGCCCCACCTTGTTTGCTTATTTCTTAACTTATGTTCTATAAGAACGGACTTTTTTGGTAGTCTTTTCAGATGTGAAGGCGGTAAAAAGCATAGACTGTTTTTTCCATCCATAACCAGGGATGTAATTCTTTTTACAAGCCTATTTTTGCCGTAAGTGCCTATATAATGAGTAATATCTAATCTCCATACAAAGTAAGGGCTACAACTCTAAGTCACATCAACTCTCGGGGAGAGTGTAAACCTCCGCGAGGCGTATCTATAAGGACTGAGGCGGCCAGCAGAGAATTGAACAAATCTCGTGGGCCACTAAAAGGCCGCAGAAACATCATGAGTGGCATGATATCATTATGTTCAACAAAAGTCCCGGTGAAGTTGGCTTCAGCCTTTTTTCCCTCCCGATTTCTATCTCGTTTTGAATGGCGATTGACAAGATAATTACCTGTATAGGTACCTACAACATACCTAGGTACTCTCGTAAACTTCAGCTCCCACTGCTGACAGACATGAACGAAGCCTGAAGTGGATCTCGGGATCTTCGGGATCATCCAAGATTCCGTTAGCTGAATCTCTCTCTACAACGTGATTAGTCCATTTCCCCTACTGCCCCACCGCTATGCAAGTGAGCGCCCCTCAGTTAAGCTAAACACTCTACTTGGGCATTGCCCGGCGGGCCTTTCCTGTACGGAGTACTCCCGTACAATATACTCCGTACATATGTATGAAGATCATTCCACTGCAACCTTGGTCTACCACGTGACTATCAATTTATCGATCCAGGTAAGCCGAGGATAAATCCTGCACTTCATCTATTCCCTTCTACGTTAGCAATGGCCCCTCTCATCTTGCATAGTCAACCATTTGGTGAGCGCATCCCACCAAATAAGCGCCATGTAAGATGTTGATTCATATATCCTAACATGAACATTTGCTCACGTTAAAGCGACAGTCAATTATTCCTTCCTTACCAACCTGGGAATCTGTAGGCGGTTTGGGAAGGGGAGAAGACTGGGTGTTGCTCAAAGTCAAATCCGGATACCCACGGTAACATTCAAGAGCAGCTTTTCTTTTCCACAAGGTTGGGTCAATGATTTAATAAGTATTAGATTCTGCCTAAACGAAAATGTTAAGCAATTGAACCGCATTGTTCTTACCCGATTAAACCTCTCTGAAAGCGGTGGCATGACAAGTGCCGTATTCGTCTCTGCACAAAGCGCAACTCGGTGTGCGGCTGATTTGAACAAAGTGACATCTTCCTGCATAGAGTTCTCAATTGTTCATTTTTTTCAAGCCGGCGAGGCATCAACTGAAACCCAATGGGCACAGTTCTATGCAGTAATTTATCCGGTCGACCTTTTTGACGTGGTGTTTAGCTACTGGCGTGATAGTGGCGATGGTATCTCGACTCGTCACGCAAACTTCTGCTTACGACGGTTCAATTATCTTCAATCTAAGTCAACCAACCAGGCATTCTGCACATTGCCAACCGACCCCATTGAAATGCTTAATGAACACACCATTGGACTAAGCACGTCGGGAATCATCGAGAGAGATTTCATCAGATCAAATATAGCTAGGTTGGTCCAATCCGAGAAACCTGGCCAGCGCCGTGTTTCTTTAGAGGATATCTTCCTACATCCAGGAGGAATGGCCGCCATCAATTCTGTGGCACGGGCACTAGTTGGCCTTGGGATCGATTCGGGTATTGTTGGTTTTGGGTATGTCGTCCAACAAGATTCGGGTTGGTATTCGATCATCTAACAGAACTTATAGTTACCTTTATGGAGAGACCGCTATGGTTCTCAAGCGCCACTGGTTAGATTTCAAACTATATTCTCATGCCACTTCGGAGGGGCTTGACGAACTAGAAGCGTCACTCCAATCCGGGGCATGTGTTAATGCCTTGTGGACCGATCTTCCTGGCAATCCGACCCTAGTCACGCCTGATATGCATCGTCTTAGACGGCTTGCTGATGAATACGACTTTCTAATCATCTGTGATGAGACTGTTGGCACATTCATCAACACAGACCTTCTGCCCTACGTTGATGTTCTCGTGACTAGCCTGACGAAAATTTACAGTGGATTTTCTGATGTACTGGCAGGCAGGTACGACTCACAGTATATGGCTTATCTTTCATGGATTGTAACTAACTTAAATCAGTGTGGTCGTTTATCCTGGGTCATCTCGTTACGTCCAACTTCGCGATCAGCTTGCCATTTCCTATGAAGAAAAGCTTTTCCCTCTCAACATTGCAGTCCTACGTCGAAACTCTCGTCATTTCTCTGAGCGTGTAAAAGTCACAAACCACAACGCTAAGGCCCTTGCAGAGCGACTTGCAGCTCATTCTTTGGTGGAACGAATCAACTATCCCTCATTTACCACACCAGACATATATGAGCGCTATCGCCGACGTGGAGGGGGATATGGCCATCTCATGTGTGTCATTTTCAAAGAACCGGCCAATGCCGTTCTTTTTTATAATGCACTAGATGTTTGCAAAGGTCCTAGCTTTGGAACTGCTTTCACTCTAACAATTCCATTTTCACAACTTTTGACACTTGCAGAGCAAGCTGCACTGGATGCTCATGGCATTCCAAGCCACTCAATCAGAATCAGCGTGGGAATGGAAGACTTGGATATAATATTGAGGAAGATTTCAGATGCACTAGAGACGGTTGAGAAATTTGCAGGCGGGTAGGTATACACAGACATTGAATCATCGATTGTTTAGAACCTTAAGTATGCGTTGTGGTAGTGTGGAGTAGCTTTGGTCTATTCATTTCATTTCAAAACACAATTGCGAACAGACCTGACGACATCGACGATTTGAATTCTTCCTTCTTCAACTACCTTCTTTACAATTCAATTGAATATAATTCAATTCACATTCACTTCACTTTCACTTCACATTCACTTCACTTTCACTTCACTTTCACTTCACTTTAAAAGTCCCTATACCTATATAGTAAATCCTATATTATACGTATTATGATAGAAGGTTTCTTCCGTCTAAGAAAGGAGTAAGATCCGATTGTTATATACGATAATACTGCTAGGCATACTACTAAAGAGTACCTAGGTATGGGCCGGCCCCCGGGCTGAGGGTTGGGCTTTGGGCCTAACCTTCGAAGCCCCACCCAACCCACAGCCTATTAATGGGGGCCCATAAGGCATAACTACGGTCTTGGCATACATAAAATAGCTGATTAAAGTTTTTTTTTTTTGCGTATGTTACGGCCTATGCTCCGTATATACTACCGGCCTGTAAATATACAATGCTAATCTCGGGGGCCCAAGGCTGTAAAGCAGACAAACGTAGCAAACAATTACTGAGTACTCATCCTCAGCAGCGTACATCAGGGAGGAAGAGGAAGCATGCTGATTTTGGTAATAACAAAGAATGTAAGGGCCGTTGTTGTAAGTACTTGATTGAACATAGTAACTAACTATAGACTTAAAGGAATTATCACGTGTAGCCTTCCAAGGTTACGTTCTGCTATCACCTGATCGCCTAAAGAAGTATCTTGTTTACTATTTCCGGAATAGGAAATATGAATATAGGAACGCGTCTAAGCGCCTGTTACCTATAGAGCCCCACTTTGTTTGTTTACTTCTTATTTTGTGATGTATAGAATTCTCTTTATAATCCTATCCCTGTACACTTTTATTTTGTTGAACGTTTCTTTGTTTTGGCTTTGATTACTCCAATATACTCCCTTTTCCAATATGGACATCACTCGCTCGGGAAGGAAACGGAAGAGCTCTCTCTCAAATTCAAGAAGCCAGTCACCAGTCTCACGCCGAACTAGACAAAGCTTGGCAGCGGTACCAGAAGATGCCGGTCTCAACCAACAGCAAAAAACAGTATCTGTTACACCCAAGAAATCAAGAAAAAGAGTTCGGTTTTCCGACCCAGGTCCTCGGTTATTACATGAAGACAATGGGTCAACCGGCCTGACTCCAGCGATGCGTCGAACATCGTTCGAGGCAGGTTCTGGGGATCGCACACCTAGCCGCAAATCCCGACGCAGGTCTGCCCCAACACCACGCTTCCAGCGGTCGTATGACCCGGAGGAGCCATTTGATGAAGCGTGCACCGAGCGAAGGATCCAATTTACTCCGCTGCGCCAAATCCTGGATACACGAACCCAGAGAAGAATTAGGCGAATCGGGTTGAGTGATGAAATCAATCACATTGAGCGCGAAAAGCGGGAGACGCGGAACATGGAAAAGACCATGCGAGCTTTGCTTCAGGAGCGGGACTCCCTAAAAGATGAACTTAGGGTCATGAGACGAGGTGAAACGGGCTTTGATTACCAAAGTTCAGTGGCTGAGTCCTATTGGGTGACACCAGACACACCGAGATCTTGCGAAGAAGAATCAGTGGTTTCTAATCGCAGTCTGGATGATACCACTCTATTTTCGAACGGTGACGGAGAGACGTTCATGTTCAGTGACAGTGCTGTCGTTGTGTCCAGCTCCCCCGATTTCCGTAGTACTCGGAATCATAACCCACCTGGCACTGACAGCTTGATGCTATTCGACGAACCCCAAACGCCAATTCGCGCCACCCAAACGCAAACTCCAGTCAATACGGAAAAATCTGATATTCACTCCCTGACCCTTGACCTGGAAACTGCCAGGCAAGAGAAGAACAACTTGTTCGATGCGTGTCGATCACGAATCTCAGGGTTCAATGACCCTACCATCAATGGCCTTTTCCGTCAGTCCTCCCCACCATCGAACTTCTTCGAGAATATCATGGAGATATTGGAAAATGCTCTATCCCGCGCTTCGGATGCTGCCGAAGCTCTTGAAGAAATCAGCCAACAATTCTCCGGCTTAGGATTCTCTGGGGACGGTGTGGAGGATGTCATATCCGATATGCGGAGCCACTTCCGCTCAGCTCGTCTTGAGCTTGAGCGTGCGCTCCCTGGTGAAACTGCTAACGTCAGTCTTGAGGACGGCAAGGCGACCCTAAGTGCGCTGGTGAAACGCGTTGAGTCACTGGCAAAAGATCTGGGGACGGAGCGCCACTACCATCACGGCTCTCTCAGCCGGGAAAAGGCTCTCCGAGGGCAATTCGATGCTTTACTACGCCGATACGAGACAGCTGCAAGTAAAATTGATAGTCTCGAGGATTCGATCGCATCTTCGGCGAGCGATATGCTCCACACACGGATGCGAATGCAAGACCTCGAGCGCGAAGGCCAAGAACAGGCCGTTGGGATTGACAGATTAAGCACAGCACTCGACAAGTATCATCATGAAGTGAAGGGTCTCGAAAGTCTTATCGACAATCTTGAAAAGGAGAACACGGCTACAAAGGAGGACTATACCCGACAGATATCAAAGCTCAAGAAACAAGTTGCCCACGAACACTCGAAACGCTGTTCGGCTGAGGCTACTGCTTCCGAGTCGGAGTCTCGCATCCAAGAACTGGAGAAAACAGTTGAACACAATCGCATTCGGGCTTGCGACTTGACGGCTCAGGTGGAGCTTTTGGAAAAGGAATATCAAAGAGCGGTCGAGATCCTTGAACAAAATGCCAGTGAGCTTCAAACGCACGAAGCAGAGACTGGGACTCTAAATGTTCGAATCTCAGACCTCAGCACATCATTGCATGGAGCCAAATGTGAAATGCAGCGTCTTCAAGATGTCAACACCGGCCTTGAGGAACAGCTTCAGCTAGAAGTCGAAGCTCGAAATGAACTCTTGGACAAGTGGGCCGCAGATCAAGTCCGGTCGTTCGCCCACATGAAGGAGACTATTAACTCAGAACGTCGCAGAGCCAAAGTTCGTGCGGCCAATTGGGAATTGAAGTCGGATGATCTCATGTCAGATGGTACTACAATAGGTACTGGGAGTGAACCCATTACTCCCGTTAGCGCCCGGTATGTTGATGTCGAATTCGGCCGTGGCAAGGACAGGAGGCGTCTGGATAGCGTCGAAATATCGGCCGAGGGACTGGAGAATGACATTTTAGATGCCGTTCCCGCGTCAGATTTGGCTTAGTTTGTGTACACGATGTCGATCTTTTTTATTTATTTACTTTTGTATCTCTATTTTGGCTCTCGTTTCCACATTTTATTACATATATATTCCTCGGCATCTGAACTATCTCCAGACGTTATAGCGGCCAAATGTTCCAAGGTTTCTCTTTTGCGGGGAGTCTACACCCATGTCGGGATAGCCCGAAGGGTTATATGTGGAGCGTTAGCCTCTAGGGTTGATGTTATCTAGAAATAATGAAACAGTTACCTATCTAGGTAGGTACTATGCTGAGTTACATTTAATCTAGACAATCTGCAGAAGCCAGCTCTTATATAATTACAGGCTGGAAGCCATAGAAGACTCCCATGCCTCCCCGTACCATGCTCACTCCACGATGAGACTCAAATCTTCAGCCATTCACCTCATTACAAGCTACGGCTCGCTTTGCAGTCACAGACCGCAAGCTCAAACATGGTTCTCCCGAATCAGTGGGGCTTGTCACCGAGCCTCTTCAACAACTACATACCTACCTAGGTAGGTACCGCTGAACCTGAGTCAGTACAACCATCCACCACTTCACCTTGATCATCCATCTACTTCAATCATCCATCTACTTCAACCATCCACTTCGACCATCCATCCACCTCGATCAATCATCCACTTCAATCATCCACTTCGATCATCCACTTCGATCATCCATCTACCTCGACCATCCATCTACCTCGGTCAACCACTTCACTCACGACCAGTCTAACCGTGGCGGGCTTCGGCTTCAGGACAATCGGCAGACTGGTCACAACCACTTCAATCATCCACCTCGCCTATCCATCTACCTCAATCATCCACCTTAATCATCCACCTTAATCATCCATCCACCTCGATCATCCCCTTCAATTAACAATATCCCCTAGTCTAACAATAGAGGGCTTTAGGTTCAAAACGATCGGCAGACTAGTCACAAACACGATCATCCATCTCGATCCTCCACCTCGATCATCCGCCTTAGTTAACAATATCCACTGGTCTGACCGTGCGGGCTTCGGCTTCAGGACAATCGGCAGAGTAGTCACAACCACTTCAATCGTCCACCTCGATCATCCCCTTCAATTAACAGTATCCACCAGTCTGACCGTGGCGGGCATTGGCTTCAGGACAATCGGCAGACTAGGGAAAATCACTTCGATCACCCCCTCGGTACCGTCCTCGATTATCAAAATCCACCAGTCTAACCGTGGCGGGCTTCGGCTTCAGGACAATCGGCAGACTGGTCATAACCACCTCGATCATCCACTTCAGTTAACGATATCCACTGGTCTGGCCGTGGCGAGCTCCGGCTTCAGGACAATCGGCAGACTAGTCATAACTACCTCGATCAATCATCCACCTCGATCAATCATCCACCTCAATCAACCATCCACTCCAATCAACCATCCATCCACTCCAATCATCCACCTCAATCAACCATCCACTTCAATCAACCATCCACCTCAATCAACCATCCACCTCAATCAACCGTCCACCTCAATCAACCGTCCACTTCAATCAACCGTCCACTTCAATCAACCATCCACTCCAATCAACCATCCACTCCAATCAACCATCCACTCCAATCAACCATCCACTCCAATCAACCATCCACCTCAATCAACCATCCACCTCAATCAACCATCCACCTCAATCAACCATCCACCTCAATCAACCATCCACCTCAATCAACCGTCCACTTCAATCAACCGTCCACTCCAATCAACCGTCCACTCCAATCAACCGTCCACTCCAATCAACCATCCACTCCAATCAACCATCCACTCCAATCAACCATCCACTCCAATCAACCATCCACTTCAATCAACCATCCACTTCAATCATTCAATTCAATCACAACCAGTCTAACCGTGGCGGGCTTTGCCTTCAGGACAGTCGGCACTATTTCTACCAATTACGGAGCGCCTACGAACAATGCAATCCACCCCATCCAGCCAGGAGGCTCCGTCGTCATCGGTCACAAGTCCACCATTGTGAGAACCTTCGCTTTCGGACATACGAGTCTTGCTTTATACAGACTCTAATGGCACATTGCTCCCTTCCACGGAATGGGCCCCTTCCAAAGTGGATACAATTTACGATATGACCAGTCTGACCAATGTGTTCACTACGGTAGCCGCATTGCGGGCCATTGATGAGGGCAAATTAAGCTTGCACAAGAACGTTGCGTCCTACCTTCCCGAGTTCGCTGCGAATGGGAAGAGCAACATCACTGTCTTGGTGCTATTGACCCATACATGTGGCTTTGGTCCAGACCCTCTGCCCGGGCTGTATGAAGCACTTTACAAGACCATGCAGCAACGCGTCCGTGCTATCATCTAGCATAAGCTCAAAATGTTCCTGGGTCTACATACACCTACTCAGATCTGAACTTCATGAACCTGCGCTTCTTGTTGGAGAAGGTCACCAAGACACCATTTGAGGAGTCTGTCCATTCATTTACCCGCGATCTCGGCATGGCAAGCACCTTTTTCAACAAGGGAAACAACCAGTCCCCCTCATTCTATCATTACACGCGCATGGCGCCGACAGAGTATCAGATCGATGTTATGGGAGAAGCTGAGCTCAAACCTCCCCAGCCAGTACGAGGAACCGTGCACGACGAAAATGCCTGGGTCGGAACTGGGCGAGTAACAATATTGTTCGGGAGGCGATATGCTATTGAGTTGCCCACTCGCTTGGCCGCGATGTTTCCTTTCCATGATGCTTTGGTTGGGAGATATTTTGTTTGACTACCTAGATGGATTGGAGCGCGCTGGAAAGCAATATTTATACAGTTCAAGCATGTATTATGGAGTAATGACTATGTCATAAACATTATAAATCAAATGGTATATCTCCCTATGCGCAAAACAAAAACTAAACTCCCAAACAACCCAGACAAACCAAGCATTGCGAAGCCTACTCGCCAGTCATGCCTTTGGGCTGAGGCTCAATATGCTGTTTGTGCCCCGGTCGAGCAATGATAGCCCCAAAGAAATTGAAAATGTTGTTACAGCGAAGCATCATGCAATAGAACAAGGTAATCCCCGTAACCATGATCTCCTCCTGTGCAGCTCTATCATCTGCCTTAGGGCCCATGAACTCGATCTTGCCAATTTTGGTGACACCCCAAGCATTGGCAGAGAATTTTGCCACGGGCATTTGCTGATCATCGACACAGACAAAGTACCAGGTCTTGAACCCACAATCGCTGGTCCATGTCATTGTGACTGGGGATTCGGTGTCAGAGAAGTTGAGTGAGCGGTGGGTATAGACCGTCCTCCAGCGTTTCTGGGCTAGAAGGTGGGCCTTCTGTCCACGTAGTTCGTAGTCGGCATTGATGGATACCGCATTGAGCTTGCCAATTCCGATGACTTCTTCATCGGAGGCTTTTTTGAAAACCATGTTGGCTACGAGACTGAATGGGGAATAATGGATGGTGTATAAGGTGTCTGATGGATTGTTGACATCGGAGACAATGCCCTTCCACTTCTTCCATGTAAAATCGACTGTAAAAGCAGTACTCTTGGAGGCAGTTTGGGTGTATTGGGGAATATCGGATGAAGTCATATTGTTTGAGTTGGCTGTCAAGAATGGATTCTTGGAAGTAGAAGATGGTTGGATGGGTTGGGGGATAACGGCTGAAGACATTGTGTTTGTTTTAGCAATATTTGATAGTTGAGTTGAGTCTCTGGAATGAATTAATCCCATTAGAAGAGAAATTCGACTACTTTATATAGCTCATCAGCCTCATCTCACCAGGTGCCCAGAGGCGCAGGGTCTTGGCAACTCCACTCATTTAGGGTTCACTGCACTAACCTCTTTGGGTGCCATGTACCGCTCCAGCCAATCAGGTTCGAGATTGGGGGTTTTTTTTTTTTCCGGTGGATGTGTGATATCATTCCCCAACTTGGATTTGGGGGCTGAGAGTGTCTGGATCTACAAAGTACAGAGTACTTGGATAGAATCAATAAATAAAAATCCTTGTGGAGATAACGCTATTCGTATATTCACAGCGCTGCGTTGGCCGTTCTCCTCATTCGTGGAAGACGCATGCTATCTGACCTAGATCAGCGCACTTGAAACCCTTGGAACAGTAAATCGCAACACTGATAATTCTGCCATACATTATCCAGAGTTCTTCAATACCAAAGAGGTTGTTGGTTATTTATTGTTTTATTGCTATTTGAGCATTGTTGTGTTGAGTACCAAATTGTCACTGCTTATCCCGAGGTCATTACTTGATTGCCTTCTAGAACGATGACGTTGTTGGGCGTCAAACTTATAAAATTAGACTTCTAGCAATAGCTTATTAAACAATATATTATTTTCCACCAAGTCTCATCAACTCGCTCTACTACCCTCTCTGAACATGGTTAGCCAGGATACCAGCGTAAACAAACGCCGGTTGAAGGTAACGGCAGGCGCCGACTACAACCTCAAGGCTCATCAAGCGGTACCTGTAAATGGCGAGACAATACGAATCGAGAACGAGCATGCTATTGTGAGTCTCTGTGTACGGATTCAAGACTACACAGGTAACATCCCTTCTCGTCTATTCAGTCAGGGAGCGAAGCTCATCAATCAAATAGGCTATCCCGAAAATTCACCATCTACAAGCCCATATTTCAACCATCCCCTACATGAAAAAGATCTATATTCCATATGCTTCTCAATAATATTCAAGGAGCGAGTGAATGGTAACAACCTCGTCTTTGGCAATGACTTCGATCACCCCATCCGCGACATGCTGCCCCCAGGATTCAATGCAGCGCTACGGATGGTCAAGTGGACACTCGATCCCGGCCTAGACGGCGATGTCTACGCTGACAATCCGTACCTATACAGCCCGGCATTGGCATCGTGGGACCAGTTCCGGATTGGAGATAAGATGAAGAAATCAGACGAGGTGCCAACGCTCCATGATGAGATAATTGAAGAAGGTTCTTATAGCGAAGATTCTGCCAATGTGCGTCGGCAATTTAATATTCCCGACACTGTCGAAGGGCGCAGAAAGCATTTCCAGGATGAGGCGAATAGAAAGGTGTTTGACTTTGAACCTGGGAGGATGTACGTTGCTGATTTCGGAAATCCTTATTTGGCATTCAATGGTGAGTGAAATGCGGGTTTGCTGCTCTTTGGATTGGGTTCGTCGGCTCATCGATCGCAATAGATTTCTCTGTCCGGCTTCCTGGATTCGATCTACATATCATGAAGTACGTGGATGAGACGAACCATGAGCTGCGGTATACGCTCAAGGATGTTTCAAACGGACGGGTATATCTTGCTGTGGTGTTCTCGGTGGTCTTAGGCGAAACGGAAGACAAAGATCATAACAAGAGTGAGCAACGTGACGAAAGTCTAGGGAAGTTTGACTGGGAGCCGGAGCCATCGTCTGGTGATGTTGAGTGATACATCTCTCGATTGAGCAGAGTGCGCTGTTGAAATGGATATCTGTTTCACACAATTAAATGGTTGTCGATGCATGCAAGGGAAAACAATAAATTCATCTCTTAGATATCATCGCAAACTTCGGCTTATGTACAAGTTTACTTTTACAGTCTCTTCAGGACATCGTCCAACACCTGCTGAGTGGTAGACTTTCCGCCCATATCGGGGGTAAGGAACTGGGCAGCATCCAGGTTACCGTCGACAGCAGCGTAGATCTGGGCAGCGGCCTTCTCCTCGCCCAGGAACTCGAGCATGAGAGCAACACTGCGGATAGTAGCAATGGGGTTGGAGATACCCTGACCCTCAATGTCAGGGGCACTGCCGTGGCAGGGCTCACCGATAGCGAAGCCATCACCGACGTTGGCACTGGGGACGAGACCCAAGCTGCCAACGAGGGCAGCAGCACCGTCAGAGAGGATGTCACCGTAGAGGTTAGGGGCGACAATGACATCGTAGAACTCGGGCTGACGGAAGAGCTTGTAGACCATGGAGTCGACAATCTGCTCCTCGACGAAGACGGAGGAGAACTTCTCGGCGGCAAGAGCGCGGCGAGCGGTCTCACGGAAGAGACCGTCAGTCTGGGAGAGCACGTTCGACTTGTGGGTGATGGTAACCATGGACTGGTCACGAGTGGAGGTGGCGGGGAAAGCGGAGCGGATGTTCTGGCGACGGAGCGCAATCTCACCGGCGATGTTGGAGATGCGGAACGAGGCGTGCTCGGAGATACGCTTGATGGCCTCGGCAACCTTGCCGTTGGGGCCCTCGATAGTGCGCTCTTCCTTCACGTACAGATCCTCGGTGTTCTCACGGACAATGACCAGGTCAATGGGCTTGCCATTGCTGTTGCCGGCGGTGGTCTTGACAGGACGGACGTTGGCGTACAGGTCGAGCTTCTTGCGGAGGGCGACAATAGGCGATGAGTAACCGGCGACCTTGGTGCTAGGGGAGCTTTGTGTTGGGAGCAATTGTCAGCCGGGATTGCGCATGTTGGAACAGGGACATCGTGGCTTACCTAACAGCGCCAAAGAGAGCACCGTCACACTCCTTCTTCAGGGTATCGACAGTCTTGTCGGGCAGAGCGGTTCCAGTCTTCTGGAAGGTCTCGTAGCCGGCATCGAGGTCGACGAAGCTGAACTTGAGGTTCAGGGACGAAGGGAGGGACTCAAGGATCCGACGGCCGGCCTATATTTCATCAAACAACATTCAGTCAGTGAAATGGCTCGTATATTAAATCGAGAGAGAGCTACCCACCGGGATGACCTCCCGTCCGATACCGTCTCCGGGGATAAGACCTATAAGATTCGGTCAGGTCAGTCAATTGACGAGCCACAAGATCGCAAAACAAGGGCAATTGTACCAATGCGAAGTGTCCGAGCAGCAGCCATTTTGATAGACTTTTTTGAAGAGTTGCTTTCTTGAAATCGACAATCGCCGTCATCGGAGCTTTTCATTTTGTATACGGCATCGGACGATTGTTTATCCGATATACCAATCCCGGGGTCCGGAGGAGCGGCGACCCTATACCGTTACGAAGGACGTGGTTGTATCTCTGCCTCATCCTCATGTTTTGAATACAGTTGACGAAACTGGATCGAAAAGCAATGTGTGCTGCTTAAATATTCGTTTCGAGAAGAAATGATACAGTCAGCCGGAAAAACAGCACAGGCTGCGCATGGATATAGATACATCCTCAGATTGCCCAAACGGGTCGCTTTTCGCGAAGTTGAATATGGATAACACCTTCAAAGGTTATTTCATGGCTTCGCCGAACTTTCAAATGTCGATTTTCATCGTGTCGCTCAATCTTTGCAGCCATTCAAGTCTGTTGAGGAGCCATCCACGCTGAATACTATAAACGCTAAACCCAAATGGGTCACTTACCGCGATGTAGATCCACCGGCATCAAGTATACAAAGTCTTTGACAGAGATTGGAAAATTGAACCCAATCCTCAGAGTAGATATTTAAAGCTGTCCAAATCACACTCCATTTTGCATGGTTGCATTTGATTCCGTACTTCATTATCACCCAAAACTTACTGTCGACTCTTTCAAATCCAGGGCTCACTACTCCGTATGGCATTCAACCTACTGGCCCGTTCATCAGATTCGCCAATCACAACTCGGAAGCAGAATATTGTCATCGCAGAGATCGTCATATACTCCCTTATCCATATGGCGCAGTTTAGCACAAGATGCATGCAAGAGTGGAGGTACTGGCACCACAACACGAACAAGAGCATCGGACGATGTGTGTTCTATTCTTGGTGGAGTATGGTTGGTCTTCTCTCACAGAGTGAGTGGAAGACATTCCGGCAATTTCAAAGATATGGCATCCAAATCCTTTATAGTTCGCATAGCAGACTCGGCCCTAGTGCTTGCCAACTCACACCCGGAGAAGCCAATGCTCATTGCGGAATCCATTTTGCAAAGCGTAGGCCTTTCGCCCCTCTTGTTTGAAGTCAGCTTGGTCTTATTATGGTATGTTGAAGATTTCCTATACCCTGGGAGCTTGCTTTTTTCCCAGAAACAAAAGAGATGCTAACGATATTTCTCCAAATAGTGGACAATCCGGAGAAACTGGCCCTGGAAATTCGATATATCATATAATTTCCTCTAGAGCCACGGGGTAAACCTTCTATCAGATATATACCTAGCACATATAGTAGGTACTAAACCATCCAATTTTCCCCAGTAGGGCCCAAATTGGGGAAATCCCAGTTCGGATGGATCTGTGTTTATATTCTGCCTCAGGCACTCAATACCCCTTAACTCGAGATCCACTTGTAAATGTGTCCAGATACTATGTTTCAGACCTCACAGGGGGTTTCAGTACTCCATACGGTAAAATTAATCTAACCCCTTAAGGATGAAGTCACCTGTCACATAGAAATGAAAGCCCCTGAGACAGGGGAGTTCTGTATGGAGTACGGAGTACAACGAGTACAACGTAAGGCGTTGGCCTATTGGATACGCTAGCCTTAACTAGCGCGTATGTATGTAATAGTTTCTGGATCGGCCCTTCTTCACACCTTGTGTCCTCTTGTCTCATACCAATTCTCTGTCCGGCTTTGACGCGTTGAAACTGAACCCTCTTGGGAACATGCAGTGGGATCTGCCTGTATCCGATTAGACGTCACAACAATCCCGTTTTGACCTGATTTCAGGAGCACCCCTGTGCTCTGCATACGCGTTTCCAGCTTCCCCTCGATTGGAATATACGCCCTTGTTCGATCATCGTACCCTCAGCGATAATGTCCGATAACAACCCCCATCACCCTGGAGTACGCAGCTTGCTAGCCAAGTTTGAAGGCCAAAGCCCCATCGCCTCTCCCCCGCCTCGTGGCCGATCCCCAACGGCGTCAGACTCGTCAGCAACAGTGCGGCAGCTGTCCAAGGTTCGGGCTAGCTTTATCACCGTGGATGGGGTCATTCAGTCAAATCCTTCTTCGCCACTGAGGAAAACAAGTGGCCGCAGCGATAGTCCTGGAATGTTTGGACCGAAGATCAATTCTGGGGATGCGGAGTCCGGACGGCAGAGTACGATCTCCCCCACCCCGCTCAGTCGCCTAGACCACACACAGAACGCGACTCTGGGACAGATAATGGCTGCGGGTCGACCGGAGGAAGCCAAGAGTGAACAAAATCAGACTAGCAAGGAGGAACTCGCAACGCGCACTGAGGCTGAATCTCGGTCGCGAAACACCCCACCAAAGCAGACAGAGGAGTCCACCTCCACGGATTCCAAGTCGACAAGCTCCGACACTCCCTCGCAAAAGTCAGATTCGTCAGTAGTGATCAAGAAGAAGCCTTCTTCCGTTGGATCTGCCCGCAGTGCAGCAAGCAAGTCCGTACCAACTACTGCAACTTCAACTGGCAAGAAATCTGCTGCTCACAATACAAGCTCCAAGCCCACCGCTCGCGAAGTAGCTAAAGAGCGTGCCAACTCTCTGGCCCACAAACCTAGTCGTGTCTCACTAGATCCCAAGACAACAGCACGGCCAACCCGCGGCTCAGCAGCGGCACAAGATACTTCAAAGCCAAATGCTGCGGGTGCATCCAGCAAGTCAGGAATGAAGCCCCCACCGAGACCTACCCGTGTACCTGGCTCGGCAACTACGTCAACCCACGCACCTGCTGCTAAGCTAGGAAACACAGGGGCTCCGAGCACTCGCACTACTACCAGTGCATCAACCCTCACAAGAAAACCTTCATCCCTCAAAAGCGCAACTGGAGCTCAGTCGCGTGCCACTACCCCTAGTACCAGCATTCGCCGACAATCTTCTCGCCCTTCGTTGCCCGCTCACGCAGCTAACGACGACGCAAGCGCTAAGCCGGTCAACGAGGGCTTCCTTGCGAGAATGATGCGGCCTACTGCTAGCTCTGCGAACAAGTCTCACCCCCAGGAGAAGACCGATGCAAAGCCTGTCACCAAGACTGCTACTGTTTCCAAGGCACCTAGGCCGTCAATTGGAAGGGTGCCAGATCGTGGCGTCCACCAAGTGAAGCCTAAGAGCACTGCTCCTCGACCTCAGAGTCACAAATCCCAGCCTCTGAACAAGGAGCCTGTGCGACAGAAAGATGGACATAAGCCTTCCCAAAAGAAACAGGAAAGTGAGAAAGAGAATGTCGTGGAGCCTACATCAGTGGAACTCACTCCAGTTGCGACTGTGGAACAGCCCGAAGCTGTTTCCAAGCCGGTCGAGGAAACCGCTTCCCCTGCTCAGGTTGAGGAGTCTACCCCTGAAGTTGCCATCGCATCTGCTGAGCCAACCGAGAAGGCAATTGAAGTGCCTGAGCCGATCATTGAGGAGACAGTGACCGAGAGCTCCTCCAACCCCGTCCCAGTCGAAGATGCTACTGAGGTTCCGGCTGAGCCTACCGATTCCAACAAAGCCCAGGCTAAGGCGGATGCTCCTGTCGACTCCCTTGTTGAGCCCATCGCTGAGGATGCTAAGGAAGAGAAGGCTGCTGAGACCACTGCAGCTGAGGAGACTGCCGCAGAGCCGGTGGCAATCACAACGGCTGGTGATCAAGTGAAGGTCGATGAGAAGCAAGAGGTCTCGATCCCCGAACCAGAAGTGCTCCAGACTCCTCAATCAACAGAGGCCCAGGACGTGGCTTCTGAAAAAGAAGATGCCGTGCCAGTGAAGGAGGTTATTGTCTCCGAACCCTTCTCGGAGGAGAACCCCACAGAGGCCAAGTCTATTGAGGAGCCTGCCCCTGATGCGCAGCCTGCAACTGAGGCCGAGTCGAGCAATGTTGCCATCGATATTGCCAGCCTGGTATTGAACTAGGCGCTCTACATCAGAACTGCGCCGAGCGTTTATTTGAGAAATGGATTTCGCTGGCCCATCTCCGCTTCTGGTAAATTTTGGAAAATCATTTAATCTTCTCTGATCATACTCTTCACTATTGTCTTCTATCTCACCAAGCGTGAGCTTCTTTCCATTTATTAAGGCTTACCCTCAACCTGTTCACCATCCATTCTTCCGTGTCTCTTTCTTACTCTATGCTAGCATTTTTACATCTATCAGAGTTTTGGGTTGTCTTATTCTTTGTTTATTACTTGCATACTTTGTACCAATTTCGTGAGCATATTATTCATAGCGCTTAGGGGCATTATCCAATTTAGCATCTTGGTTTATCAATATAGCGGGGCTCAAAGCTTTTATACTAGTTATCAGTTCTCTGTTCGTATCTACTAAGCACTTCATTTCTCATCAAACTGAGTAGCTAAGCTATAACCTTGTTCTGATTCCTATCCTCATCATACTGCTCAGCAGCTGACCTAGTAATAGCAAGCACTCAAGGTGATCATGACCAGCAGAGATCTCTGATGAGAAAGAAAGACGCAGAATTTCAAACTCCCACCCCCCAAAAAAACGCTCAAAGTTTCCTCTCAAGCTTCTTGAAGAACCTATTCATACCACCTTCCAACCGCTCTGCTCTATCTTCCAATTTTCTAGGCCGCTGTCCAGGATTCTTCATGGCCTTCTGTGCATATTTTTGATAGTGAGAGCTAGCCTCCACTTCAGTGGGTCTATACAGCTGGCTATGGATATCATATTCAGAACCAGCACGTTGGTGTTGTTGTTGCTGCTGCTGCACCTGAGTCTGGTCAGACGAGTAGTTCGAGAGCCCGCCTACCGGCGCTGCCATCCCAGCCTGATACTGAGGCGGCGACTGAGCCTGAGCAGCCCCATAGACCTGCTTGTCATATAAATGGGCATTCGGGTCCTGCGGCGGCGGAGCGAAGGACATTGAGCCTTGTCGGCTTGCGCTGTACGGTTGACCTCCCTGTCCGGCAATGAACGGCTGCGAGTACGAAGGGACAGGTGTGCCGGAGCTGTGGACCGAGGATCGGGTAGTGGAGAAAGAGTTTGAATGCTGCAGTCCTGCACTGGGCGGAGGGGAGGCGAATGCTGGCGGTGCTGCGACTGGAGGGCCTGCGTATTGCAACCCCGGGGTTGAGAGGGGCGGGGATGCATATCCGCCCACGCCTCCTACGCCTCCCATAATTTGCTGCGGGGGCGTATATGGCATACTGTTGTCGGCTGCCACTGCGGCTGCGAGACCAGTGCCATTCATTCCGTCCTCTGGCGGAGGGGTCTTTTCGCGGTATTGGATTGGCTCTGGGGCAGCTGGGGCGGCTGGATTGTATGGGAGCGGGGCGAAGCTAGCTGGGTCTTTCTTTTCCTCGGCGGGAGTAGAACCAGTGCTTAATCTTTGGTCAACTGGAGGTCCACTTGGAGGAGGTGGGGGGAAGCTGCTGGTTGGTGGGGGCGCCTGTGGCACTGGTGCCGCTGTGCTTGCGGGCTCGGCTCGTGAATTGCGTGTTTGACCATTCTGGTAGGCAGGGTCAGAGACTGCAACTGTCTCCAGTTGCTGGACTACAGAGCTCATGGTTTGCTGTTGTTGCGGAGCTGGCTCTCGGTCTGTCTCGACCTGGGCATTGGATAGAAGCCGGATGGCAGTGTCCAGAAAGTCGGTTGCATCTTCTTGGGTCCAGAAGTAGATATCCAATGTATGCAAGCGAGGGAAATTACGGACTTCTTTGGGGTCGTCGCGTGGGTCACCGCTAGGGAGACGCCACTCACGTTGAGGAGTATCCTGTACATATTGATGCTGGGGCGAGGGCGTGTGTGCATCAACTGTTAATGTACATAGTGTCGGGAATTGAGCAGAGTGTCGTATATGAACATTGCTCAATCCTCCACAGAATGCATCCTGCTCTGGAGATCCAGGATTATTGGCAATTTCTATGCGGGCCTTGTTCTGAAAGGCGTCATGGTAAATATAAACATAGGAGCCTTTATCAAAGCGGTGATGATATGGTGAAGGTCTTCTGGCTGGTTCTGTGAAGTAATAGTGAATATCTGCAAAGCTATTCCGGCTGTTAGACACAATCCAAGAACTGCTTTATATCTATATGCGGGGAAGTCAGTTCGACTCACACAGTCACAAGGCGCTCTTCGCCCGCTGATGGTGGCATGTCTAACAATTCAAAGTACGGAATGCAAGTATACAACGATGGCAGCGAGTAGAGGGGAAAAGAAAAAGAGGAACTTACGATTATTATTTATACCTTGGCCTGAGGGGTATTCAACCTGTGGAACGCCAGCATCAACCGCCATGCAAGTTGGGCGCTTAGAAGATGTAGATGTGATGTGATAGGACAGTACTAGTACCTGGTCATCACATATCTCCGCTATGGGTGAGGAAGTACCGGGTACCTGGACCAGACCGTGATCCGGAAAAATAATTTATCCGAAAATTTCCAATCCCAAATCATCGCATCTTCAGTCGGCCGCAACACCTCCTGCCGTGTCTTTGCTTCCCCAGACAATTGCAGTCCATTGTGGTCATTCTCGGTCGTTGCTTTAGTCTATCCGAGATCCCTATCTTTCTTCCTCTTCTGAAATTGATCAATTCCACCACTCTCTTTCCTCTCTGAACCGCCGGTAGAGCTTAATTGCTGCCGCCGCGAAATCAAGATGTCTCTCGTCAACCTTTCCGCCGTTTGCGCCCACTTGAACAATGCTACCAAGGCCCGTCTCGCCCTCACCTCTATCCCTAACAGCAACCTCCACCTGAAGCTCTCCCTCGCTCTCCAAAACTCCGGCTACATCTCCTCCGTGGCCCGCGGAGGTCCGACTCCTCCTCCAGCCCATGGCATCCTCGGTTACCCTGCAGTCAATGATGAAGCTGAGGGCATTGAGCCAATAACGCGCGATAATGTCGCCTCAAGGCGGCTATGGCTGGGCCTGAAGTACTGGCAAAACGAGTCGGTCCTCGGCAAGATCAAGATGGTCAGCAAGCCCACCCGACGGGTCAACATTGATGTGGAGGGTCTGCGCCGAGTTGTGCGTGGTGAGGAATCCGGGTTTGTGGCCGGAATTCGCTCGCCGGGTGAGAGTCTGTACCTCTCTACAGACCAAGGGATTCTAGAAGCTCGCGAGTGTGTTGAGAAAAAGCTTGGTGGGCTGGTTTTGTGCCGTGTGCTATAAGTCTGCGGTTGTCCTCGCAGCTTATCTCTAATTTAGGGGAGCTACCCACCGGGGAGATTGTTTTCTCTTCTTGCATTTACTTTGGAGTTTGTTGGTTAGTCGCAGCGCTTTCTCTTTTCGAGATTAGTCTTTTTGTGACTGTTGGGATAATACCTGGGTCAAGGATCTGTATATTAGATGTCTGCGTATCTCGCATTCTGTGCTCTGCTGGTGATTTTGCAGCTGTCCTCAATGTGACACAGTGTATAGATTATGACTTGAAATATTTCCGTACTCCCCTTCTACAATTAAGTAGTATCACTTCTTGAGCTGGTTTTATGGTTATTATCGTGCCCCATTGACAATACCCCAAGTGTTGGGGGTATGGTGTAGGTAAATAGTACGGCGAATGGCCATGACCCAATCATCATGGAAGTTCGAATAGTAAGCTTATGCTTCCTGTGTTTTTGACGGCATAGTTCAATAATCCGATCCATGTGGCTAAGAAACATCCAGAAATATGTCCAGGGGTGTTCATCAGAATTTAAACTGATCCACCCTCCCCCGGGGTAACCACTGCTTATCCACTCGTCCTCTAGTCCATCGTTTGCGCTCTTCAACTTCTTTTCTCTTACACCACCTCATTTACTCTACAAGGTCCTCCTGCCCCCCTGATTCATTCAGTAATCGTCGGACATATAACTACCAACCATGGCTGGACGTGAAAGCGCTAAACGCGCGCGATCCAATACTATTGGCGATGCCCACATCAACACGAGAGCGCCGCCAGCAGAAGAAATTTCCCAGCAAATCCAGCACCTCAGTCGACAGTCTGTCACCGATATTCTCACGCAGGCAGCGCAAACCCATCCTGACGTTATGAGCATGGTGGACGATGCCATTCGCATCATCCGGGAGAAAGAGCAAAATCGCATTATCAGCTTCGACCACTATTCCAGCTCAGTCTGGAAATCGATTAACATCACATATCGCTCCATGCGCGGTGCCAAACAGTACGATATCTCGTTCGAGGTGGCCCAGGGAGTCGCCGATACCATCAAATCGATCACGAAACAGTGTGGACCATTCACCAACCCTCAGACACGTTTCAATGGGCTCTCTGTTCTACGCAAAATTGGTAAGACCATTGCGCTCTCTTCCAATGATACACTGGGCCACGAGGTGCGAAAGCAGTTCCAAGGGGATGCCTCTCTTGTGGAAGGCATGTTGGAAATCCTCGATTCTATGACGGCGGAGGAAATCCTCGAGATCAGAGAGGATGGGGCGAGTCCGGAATCGTTGTGGCCAAAGCTACAGGAATTGGAAGAGTTGGCCAATGATTATTGTATTCATCCTGGACTGGAAGCAGTGTTGAATCGACTGGACCCTGATGGTCATAGGGATGAGGAAGAATGGGATGAAGAGGAATATGAAGAAGCATATGAGGACGAAGAGAGCGAGGATGGTGCTCATCAAGCACAGCCATGAGAGTTGTCTTTGGGATTGAACTAGACTGGTTCAGACATCAAGAATAAGAACCAACTTCAAATCTGAATGTAAAACAAGAACATTCCGACCAATTGAGTAGCCTCTATCAGGCGTCATGCCCAGTATCATTTGAGGTGCTCTCAATGTGTCGGGGTACTCTTTATAGTTGTGATGCCGCACAGCAGTTCTGTCTCGCCGGTCCGACCTTCCTCCACATCAACCCCTCCCCCATATTGCTAACACTCAATCCACCTCCACAATGACCGACGCAGCAAGGACAGTCCCCCTCTCTGGTGGCACTGGCTTTGTAGGCTCGGGCATAGTGCGGGCTCTTGCAGAAGAACACCCAAACTTTGTCATCGCTATCATCGACAAGAGTCCCCCAACTATCCGAGCACATCCTACCAGAGAGAACTAGGTGCATGCAGGTAGATATCACTTCATCTGAAGCATTGAGCAGTGCATTTGAGACTGTGAAAGGAGATATCGTTGTCCACAATGCTGGCGTCCCAAATTTGGCCGAACGGTTCAGGCGCCGACTTGAGCAGGAGGTATGGAATATCAACTTTGAAGGCGGAATATACTGGATGTGTGGAAGTCTTCATATAAACGAGTAGTTGCTGCGTGGTAATCAACGATACGCGTATCGCTCATCCTAACATTAATGAAAAATGGCCCTTCGCATTCAAGTCGACCATTTATGGAGAGTCCAAGGTTGGAACTACCAACCCTCATCAACATAATTCTCGGAATTAACAGCAAATAAGCCACTGACATACTTTGCTAGGCTTCTGCGGAAGCACTCGTTCTAAAGGCCTCCAGCAGCAAAATGGTGACATGTGCCCTTCGACCATCGGTACTCAGCGTACCAGGAGGCTACCAGTTAGTACCATATATTCACGCATGCATCACCAAATATGAAACCCTTTTTTATCGGAAATAGCTTCAATTTGTGGGATATCACCCACGTTGACAATGCCGCCGATGCTCACGTCCTAGCCATAGAGGATCTGCTACCATCCTGCACAGCTGCAGGCGAGGCCTTTTTCTTTCAGAATAACGAGCCTATTGTCTCTCGGGATTTATGCCTGGCAATCTGGGCGCATTTTGGCCACGTCCCGCCTTTTGAGATGCGTATCCCAGAGAGACTGGCTTACTTTTCCGGACTGGCGTGTGAGACGGTCACCTGGTTGATGAGGACAACAACTTTGAGCCGGGGGATTGTACAAGATACATGTGCCACTCGGTATGCTAGTGGCAACAAAGCTAAGGAGAACCTGGGGTACGAGGCACGCATTGGTATCAAAGAAGCCATCCGTTTGAGTTGCGAGGTAAGCAGATATCACAGGCGCAAATTTTTTTCTATTGCCATACTAACTGAAGTAATCCAGAATTATACTTCTCATCTCAGGGTAAAATCACCTATCCTCAATGGTCGAAGCCGGCAAAAACAGTAACATGTCACGTTGATGGAAATCACATTCCCAGTTCCCAGGAAATACTTCGATGGTTAAGATTTCCTGGGGCTTGAGAGGCGCCTCTAGCTTGAATGATTTCATCATACCTCCTATGACCACTCAGAGTGTTATTGACAACAATATTCCTAGGCAATCTCGACCTCGGAGGCATAGACATTGGGCTTCTTGTTGGGCTGCAAGAGTAGATTGTACGCCATCAGAACAGCTGAGCTCTCCACATTTGAAAACTTTGATATTATATTTTCTCTTTGTTCCACCCGGATCTCTAAAAGAGTGCCCAGAAGAGAGACATGGCCCATGCGGCTTATTGCATTGGGCCCCAAACAACCCGAGTGCCCAACACAAATTAACTGCGGAATCGCATGCTACACCTACCTCACTCATATTTACATTTCTTCCAGGACCTTCGAGGGTGCAGATCACATCTTCACTCTGCACATTTGGGTATCCATAGGTCAACAATGTCCAAGTCCAGAACCCCGGTCCTTGCGTTTTCTACCCAACACCAGACTTGCTGCCCGAGGCTTTACCCCAATACAATTATCGAACCAGGATGAAGGTCGTACGGCACCTAGCATGTTGGTGTTTCCTCCCTAATCGATGAAGATCAGAGCTTTGTATGCAATGTTTGCCATGCGGATTCATGCCATGCACCCACAGGCGTCTCACGGCGCCTCGGCTGCCAACGAGCTTTACACACTGGTCTTATTCTTGGTGATCAAGATCTTCAAATAAACGATACGAACGGTCCATTTCCTTTACGCAATTGGTCTCTTGAAACCGACAATGTCTAGGCAACACAGGCCCTTCTCCATATATTCCAATTTGTCTCCACCAACGCCACTGGCGTAAAGTCCTCTAGCGCGGCTCTGAATCCAGTTACACTGCCGTTGCATAAACATGGGTTGGTTGTGATCGATCCCCTTTGTCAGGCACACTTACGAGTTCGTTCCGCCCGGGGAGAGTATAATACCTGGCCTTTCTCTGTGTTCGTGAATTCATTCGCTCAACCCACCCAATATATATATTCTTTCCCTCGCTGCTCTTCTGGACCTTGCAAGTTCTCAATTGTCATATTAGGCTGTTGTAATACTTTGGCATTACTTTCTTCATGCTTCCTGTCCTTCCTCATCCATTTGCGGGTGGATCGGTCTATCCGTTCTCTTTGCCAGCAAGTCTTGGTTCTTGTGCAAGCTCTATCAACTCTAAATTTGATAATCGGTCTCGCCATAGGTTAGCAGAATCAGCATCGCCATTCCCTCCTTTATTCCCATGCCAGAACTCTTGGAATCTGAAAACTCATACTCCGTAGTAGCACCATGGCTCAACACTCAATGTATGGAGCCCCAGCAACCCCTCCGGTGGTCTATCCGCAAAGGTATTGTTTGGTCATCGTTCACTTCATTGCAAATTCCTTCCAAGTTATCATCGACAAAAATCGCTTACGTTCCTTTTGCTAAGCGGTAAAAGGTCACCACCAACTCCCCATGGATATGGCTACAGAGACGACCGTCAATTGCCTTTCGTTCCAGTGGATTCTAACCATCAAACCCATTACCATGGAGGTCCAGTCCATCTGGATAACCACAGCCACATGATGAACCCACCCACGGGACGTTTACCCTATCCTCCAGCTGGACAAGCCCACCCACAACCCAGGACTCATGAATGGAACCACCCGAACCACATATCTCGCGGCTCCCAAAGGCGGGACCATAGATCCATGAACCCCCCGGAAAGCCCGGAGTATGTCATGGAAAAAAATAACCAGCGAGCTGCCGAGAGAACCAGAGGAAGCTCGCACTTTCATTCCCAGAGACGGACATCCAATCGGGATGAATTTGATGGCCCGCATCAGTTCCTAGAGCCACCTTCTCCACATGCTGTCGCAGCCCAGGATAAAGAGCTTCCCCAGCTCCCTACTAACCTCGATGCCGGCGAGCAAGACAGCATCCTCCACAAGGTCAACGACCGTCTGTCCCAGTGTGCCTATGACTTCATTGCAAAGTACCAGTTCCGTGTTCCTATCGAACAGGACAAGAGACCCGTCAAGGTCCCCTCGGACCGCGAGTGGACTGAATGGGTATACCTCTTGAAACGACTGGCTACTACACGCCGCATCCCGGCTCATCTCTTGTACAACCGCCAAATTAAGCAGCTCATTACCGTCCTGGAGAACTCCCTGGAGATGCGTCATGCTGCCAAGCACCAGTCTAGGCCGGTCAAGGATGACCGCAACGTGTTGCAGCTCATTTCGGCGGGTACTCAGGTCGCGAAGATCCTGAGGGATGCTAGCGCCATGCAGTTTCTCGATTGTCTTTATGCTGATACTGAGAAATTGATCCTGGAGCGACGTGGCCGTCGTGTAAGATTCGCAAATCCTTGAATCCACTGGATAGATAATGGCCGTCTCTTTTCCCACTTGGATAGCACTGTTCTGTTTCTGTTGTTTTCCCGTGGAAGCCCTTTGGATTGTCCTTCTTTTCCCTCTGGTTTCCTCTTCCTTTTTTTTTTACAAGTCCGTTTGGAGTACCCTACTATCAAGTTTGAACCCCCTTGGAGGAAAGGTACCATGGAGCCTTGGTGGTTTTCAATCAGAACAAAAACCCAGGCAGCAGCAACCCAACCCAGATGAAGGAGGGATTGAAACCAAATCCCTCGGGCTGGCAGGAAAATAGTCATTCTACATCTTCCCCGGATATGTGTCAGCCAGCGGTACACAAGGAAACAGTACAACAAGGGTGGTGGTTTTATTGATTTTCTCGGTTTGATTTTATTTTTCTTCTGGCGTTCGGGTTGGCTGTCTTGATATGTTTATGTTTACTATGCTTCATACGTTTTCCCCTGTGCTACACGACCATGTCATGATTTCGGCTTTTTTTTTTTGTTGTATTTAGTACGAGATTATGTCTGTGATTTACGTTATGTCTCTAATTTGACTCGCTTGGGTGGTTCACTTCTGTTTCTTTTTCCCTTCTGCTAATATCCATATATTCCAGGTTTGGGGCTACATTGTTCCTCGGATGTCTGGGCTCTATTACAGATCAGTCACATCAATTGACTGGAACTGTTTAAGGGCCAAAAACAATGCGGCTAAAATATACAAAAAGGTCAAAAAATAGTTTCCCTGGGAATCGAACCCAGAACCTTTCCGGAACATATGCGAATCGCATTTGTTAACGGAAAATCATAACCGCTAGACCAGGAAACTGCTCGACCACTTGGGCCAATTGATGGAAGACTTTGCCAGTTTTGGCTTTATTAACCAAAGCGGGTAATATATGCAGGTATACATCTCATTTCGACATAAATAAGACTCACGTAGTGACCATATGTTTTTCGATTGGGGAGATGGGAGACTTATCTACCCTCTTTTAAAGGATGTCCGGCAAATTTTCCCCTCCAAGCCTAACGAGAAGTTGTATTTCTCTCTTTGAAGCCCTTTCCTCCAGACATTCCCTTTCGACGTGAAGCCCTTACCACAGATCCCGCTAGCAGGCTCATAGTTGCAGTGAGACTTGTGAGGTGGCAAGTATTAATACGGCTGGCCGAGGAAAGATAGCAGTCTTCAACATGAATCACTTTGTTGATTGTCTTGAAGGATTATCTATCACACAACCCTGGCAACTGCCACGAGGATCGATGGCGAGGTTCAAAATGGTCGAAGAATCATTGAAGTAAGCTCTTCCCGAAGGCGCTGTTTCTGAATCTCTCCTTCGAGGGCTTGAATTAGACGGTCTTCTTCCCTAGTTTTTCTCTATTTTCTGGGACTTTTGTTTCCTAGGCGTTCCTACCTACATATCCAGGACCACATAGCTTCTAAGAGGAAAGGTTATTTTCGCCGTGTTATGACTCTTGTTATTATTTTTTCAAGACAAAAAAAGCTTGCATAATACCTATAGGCATCTCACTCCCATTGTGATATTTTAAATGGAAAATATATAATAACGTCATAGCTAAAGTCACGTAAGAAAGGGAAATCTAAGGGAGGATATATATCTTAAAAAGCTTCATCAAGTTATGATATTGGTCTTAGGGTCGTATTAATAGAGGTCGAGTTTATGTTGAGAATCGTAATTAGGTAATATGGAATCGATACTTCCAATTCTTTTGGCGATTACCTCAATTGATTCCGTGTATACCTTGAGCGTTAATCATACACCGTCGTAGTTATCCTTTTGTTGTATGTTATAGCTAATAATACGAATCTGGTTCTTAGAATCATAACTGTATAAATTTTATCATACAGGGCGGCTGGCCTAATGGTAAGGCGTCTGATTTCGGCTCAGAAGACTGAAGGGTATTGCAGATCCGTTCCCTTGTTCGAAAACTGGTTCTCTTGAATGGTAGCAAAAAGTTCGTCGCTGTCAGTGTTGGGGATGACACCATCGGGTGGATCTTTGAGCAATATCCATTCTAGAAGTCTACAGCTCTGAGGTGGTATTTCCGCTGGATATGGATATTTAATGTTTGTTTTTGCGATAGTGTTGTTGACAGCATGCAAGTCATTCTGTTTCTTTGATGCGCGTTTCGTTGTAGGGCTCTGCCAGGCACCTGAGCTTAAGTATAGCTTACTAAGCCAAGATCTGGGCGGCGGTCATGTCAGCAACCCGTGGACGTTTCAACCTTAGAAATGCCATCTCCAAGTTGACTGTCAGATCCATACTAATTGAGTGTCTTAATTGACACTGCGGTTCTGACTTGATCTGCCTACCCAACTGTTATCAGAATGAGCTACACACTGTGTTCCTGACGTTTTTGTGCAGCTTCCGCTAGCTTAACTTCCGCCAAACCTCCGTCATGTCCGATTCGCGCTCAGGGCCAACCTCACTAGCACGATATCGACCTATCCTCTACCTCTTTACTGGTGTCGCCGCTGCTTATGCGATTCTCTACGTTCACAATAACGTCATTTCGCAGCCATCATCAACTTCACTCCGTCGTCGAAATGCTGTGCGCCGCGGAAGACCAGCCGAAGCTGAAGAGCTCGGGATCGCTGATACTCCATCCTATCGAGCCATTACCCACCTTGAACAACTAGAGCGTCAGAATGGTGTATATGGGACATTTCGCATCGAGACAGAGGATGGGCGTCGCGTGGAGAGCGGTCTTCTTCCATCACTCCTCGCAACACGCGACCAGCTGATGGAAGAAGTTGGTGTCCCACCTGCTCATGCAGAGCGCATGCGCGAAATGATGGAAGATACGTTTCTCGAATCCTTCCTTGCACTTGATTTCCCGTCTGCGCACATTCTCCCAGAAAACACCCCAGAGAGAACATACTTGACAGAACAACTTCAACGTCGAGGTATCTCCCGAGCTGGTATCGAAAGAGCTCTGCTCCGGTTCAACGGAGATGTGAATTACGGAGAGGAGCTGCGTCGGCGACGACAGAATGGTGAACGGGTCACTCTCTCAACCTCCACTTTCCCAGACGTGACTGCGCCCCCACAAAATCTTGACGGCGGTGAGACGGTGATGGACGACCAAAGTGTCTTCTCATGGCGTGATGGAAACAACGATCCTTCTTCCAATAGGGAAGGCCAAAACCTGCTCAACCTACTTTACCACATCGCTGAGGATCAGGCGCGGAGGGACGGCTACATCCATCGTGGAGTTACCTGCAATAGCTGCGGTGCCATGCCGATTCAGGGCATCAGATACCGATGTGCCAACTGCATCGACTACGATCTGTGTGAAACGTGCGAGGCAATGCAGGTCCACATCAAGACACATTTGTTCTACAAAGTGCGGATCCCAGCCCCATTCTTAGGAAGCCCTCGTCAATCTCAGCCTGTATGGTATCCTGGGAAACCTTCAATGCTCCCGCGCAGCCTTCCACGCCCTCTCGCGAAGCGTCTCATGAAAGAATGCAATTTTGAGAATACTGAGCTTGATGCACTCTGGGATCAGTTCCGCTGTTTGGCTAATTATGAGTGGGCGAACGACCCGAACAAGTTGCATATGGCCATCGATCGCAAAACATTCGACCGATGCTTTGTGCCTAATACTTCTATCCGGCCGCCGCCTCCCAGTCTCATTTACGACAGAATGTTCGCATTCTATGACACCAATGGGGACAATCTCATCGGGTTTGAAGAATTCCTGAAGGGATTGGCTAGTCTCAACAATAAGAGCAATGACGAACGGCTGCGACGTGTGTTCCGTGGCTACGACATCGACGGGGATGGTTTTGTCGAACGCAAAGACTTCCTTAGGGTTTTCAGGGCATACTATGCGCTGAGCCGGGAGCTTACAAAGGACATGGTTGCTGGCATGGAGGATGACTTCTTAGAGGGCGGAGCCCGTGATGTGGTTCTCGGTAGCCAGCCTATCAGCTCTGCATTTCCTGGCAGCATCCCTTCTGGTGAACGTTCTCGTACAGGCGAAGGCAAACGCATGAATGCCGAGGGGGACATGGAAATTGCCGACAATGAAGGAATCATGCGACAAGACGGAGATGACACTGGTGATCACCATTTGGTCGTGGGCGACGCTGCTGTTAGATCACAGTTTAGTCGAATGAGGCCATTGTTCCCATCTACACTACGCCTAGCACCCACCGAGACCACTCCCCGCCCTTCGGATGCCATAGAAGGTGACCAAAACGACAACGAAGAAGACGAAGATGGTGCTAGCGAGACTAGTGAATCAGACCAATCTAGCTCGTCGGTGGCCAGTGGGATCTGGCCCCCAGCTGAACACATTCTCGAAGAAGATATCATCGAGGCCCTTGGGTCCTATATTCCCGCTCGAGAAATCACGGATCCAATTGATCGGGCTCGTGTGGCGGATGCCGTTTATCACAGAATGCGCGAAGATGACCAGAGACGTGTGTTTGACGCCCGTCAGCGTGGAATCGACGAGCGTTGGAGGCGCCGGGCTTTCTATACGGATGAAGAAGATGGCGCCACTGTCCCTGAGGGGTATGAAAGGGATCCAGCCATCGATGACTCCAGCGATGAAGACCGAGATGAATCCGAATCGCGCCCACCCTCTTTCCGGTCGCGATCCTCCTCCAAAGTACGATTTCAGGATGATCTTAATGACGACGAGTACGACGTCCGATCTAACCCGTCGACCTCGTCGCGGAGTATTCCTGTTAGCGAGCGATGGGGTGGCTTTGAGATCCCAGAGATCGAGAGGGACGTTGGGAAAGAAATCTTGTATCAAGTCACACAACAGGGATTCAACGAGCTTCTAGATATTCTATTCAAACCGAAAGAGGACCTTCTAATGGAAGTATATCGCACGCGAGCTGAGCGCAAGGTCTGGGCCCGCGAGATCGAGCTCGCCGGAAAAGAGGACCCCTCAAAACGCGCCGCAACTGAGAACGCTCCAGTTGAAGAGGAACTGGAGGAAATTATCAACGACCGGCCACTTGATGAGCTATTGCAGCGTGCTGGCTACGGAATCCAGAGCCCAGCTCTGGCGCCTTCCAATACCGGGGTAGTAGCTCCTTCGTCGGCGGAGCCCACCGCCTCGGATGATGATGGTGGTGATGAAGATGAATATGAAGAAGACGATGATGACGACGTGCGACCAGCTCATCTCGCTGATCCCGGAGAAGATACTGGATTTGGGCAAGCGAGGCCCTTCGAGGAATCCGACACAGCATCCGCCACTTCGTCTGATTATGACGATGATATCGCTGCCTCTCAAGCGTCTGGTGCGGAGCCATCCATCCCGATTGTTGAAAACGATACACTTCACTACGATCCAACCCTCCCACAGCATCGTCCTGACGAGCCATTTATGATACACCCGGAGGTGATCGATGAATCCGACTCCGACCTGGAAGAATCCCCAACTACAAGCATAAACCCTGATCTCCCTCCTCAGTTCCGACTCCAGCCCGGGACCACCTCTCTTCCCGCCCCATCTTCTCCCCACTCCTCCCCAGAAGCCGAAGCCACGGCGCCCAAGCTTCCTCCCTCTCCTATGCAACCACTCCCACCCCCTCACCGTGTCAATGACCGGCCTCGTGAAGCTCCTCCACGCCCACCTTCGCCCCGGACTCTAGCCCGTTGGGTCTATTTAGACCAAGTGGAACGTGAGAACAAGGAACGTGGCAACGGTGCGAGACTGAACTTTGAAGAGTTCTCGCGCCGTATGGCTGCTGATCGGGGACGCCGATTGGCATTTGTGGCCAGTTGGATTGAGATGGCTAGCTTTTGATTCTGAGATTCCTATATTAACCTAGATGTACATTATTGTAAATTAGTGATACTTCTAAGTTGATACAGATTGGTTACAATGACAATCTGATTAACTACCCCCAAAAATGAGTGTCTGATTTCCTAATTTGCTAATTTTCTAACGGGCTACTGGAAATAAGAGTCGGCCGTAGTGGCGTAGACATTCATATTAACCCAACTTCTAGTTAACTATACGGAGTAGTTACTAACTATAACATCCACTAACTAGTCCAATGACAGAATTTGTAGCACCTCATTTCTCCAAGATACTCTTATTCCAACTATTACAACCGAAAATACCTCGGAAATAAGAATTCTGTGGCCCAGCCCTTGAAGCACGTTCCCTCATATTACGTGCTTTTGGAGGTCAATGGCTCACTTCGCACGATTCTCCTCTTATCGATTTAACCATCACCCAAAGTTCTTCAACCGTCCCCGATCAACTAGTCCCAGCCGTGGGGTTCTATCGGGCGAGAAATAAAACCAAGAAATCGCGATTATAATGGGCTCTGACGTGCTGTGTTATTTTGTTTAACATTCGCAACCCTGGGGCCCATAGCCATGCAGTACTATAATACTGGCTCTCTCCGGTGCTATGATTCGTGTAGCAATCTTCCATATCTATCATGGCTCTCGAACGTCTGGTCCGGTTCTACCGGTCATGTCTTCTCCAGATTATCCTTGTCGGATTAGTCGCCTTCTGCGAGCCCGGTATCTGGACTGCTCTCAATAACCTTGGAGCTGGAGGAAATGCCAAGGTAAGTCGCTTGGATCTTGGGAATCTATGCAACTACTGCTAACATATTGTGCAGCCTTACTTGAACAATGCCGCCAATGCCTTGACATATGGACTCATGTCAGTAGGCTGTTTCCTTGCCGGTGGTGTTACCAACAAGATCACTGCGAAGTGGACCTTGTTTATCGGTGCTGCATTCTATACTCCCTATGCGGCTGGTCTATACTGCAACAATCGTTATGGGAATGAATGGTTCCTCTTGCTCGGGGCTGCTCTTTGTGGAATTGGAGCGTCTCTTCTATGGGCTAGTGAGGCTGCCATTGCAGTTGGATATCCAGAGGAAGAGAAAAGAGGACGGTATGTTGAAGCTCCAAACCGTCTGCTAGTTGTTATTTGACTGACTGTTTTATGTTTAGCTATGTTGCAATCTGGATGAGTATCCGCCAAATGGGTCCGCTTGTTGGTGGTGCGATCTCCCTCGCTCTTAATGTCAATACCGCGCATGTTGGCAAGGTCACCTACACAACATACTTAGGCCTTGTTGCCATCTCATCTCTTGGAGCTCCATTTGCATTGCTGTTGTCACAGCCGCAAGATGTCATCAGAAGCAATGGCACCAAGATCCCTTACATGAAGAAAACCAGTCTCTCTGTTGAGGCTCGCGCTATCTGGAAGCAACTTCGCAATAAGTACATGCTGCTACTCATTCCGGTCTTCCTCGCGGGACAAT